TTTACTGCCAGTACACCGTTTACTGCCAGTACACCGTTTACTGCCAGTACACCATTTACTGCCAGTACACCGTTTACTGCCAGTACACCGTTTACTGCCAGTACACCGTTTACTGCCAGTACACCATTTACTACCATCTCTCTTATCTTGCAGGGATGGCTGAGCAGATTAACTGCCGTGACGCTGACACCGCGGCGGGCGGCTCGGACGAGCAGGTGCGTGCAGCTGCAGCTGATCTGGTATGCAGCTGCAGATGATCTGGTGTGCAGCTGCAGCTGATCTGGTGTGCAGCTGCAGCTGATCTGGTGTGCAGCTGCAGCTGATCGGTTGTGCAGCTGCAGCTGATCATCCTATATCTGCACCTGTGATGAGCATGCAGTTGTTGATGATCATTAGCTAATTGGTCTGACAGTTGTTGTTGCTCTATACATGTATGGTTGGTATACAGCAGGAGATTTACAGCTGCACTAACGTACACCTGTACACATGATAAACGTAGTGCTGGATTACTGTACAGCTACACTAACTTACACCTGTACACCTGGTAAGGTAACTGTACAGCTGCACTAACGTAAGTCTTCGCTGTACAGCTGCCGGCGATGCACAGCAGCATCGCAGAGCTACACGCAGCCTGTGCGCAGCTGCAGCAGAACCGTGCAGCTGCTGAGCAGCAGATCAGAGCAGCGTTTGCAGAGCTGGCAGCTGCTGCAGAGCAGCGGCAGCAGCAGCTGCTGCAGACGCTGCACCACAAACACGATCACAAGCACAGAGTCCTTGGTGAGTCCGCACGTTTGTTTCATGTGCGTTCGGGTGAATAAATTTGAATAATTGATCTGATAATTTTTAGTCTAATTAGAATTTTTCATGGATTTCTTTATTTTGGATGGACTTGATCAATGATTATAATCTTAATATTAGAGTTTTTGATGGATTTAATTTCTTGGCGTCTCCTTCATCTGCAGAAACGCAGCTGCAGGAACTGCAGAGCGGCGTAAAGCTGCTGCAGGCGGGGGATCTTCCTGCTGCACCACGAGAGAACACGCTGCTCAGGTGTGTGGTGTGTGGTGTGATGGTGTGTGGTGGTCGAGTGTGTAGTGTGATGGTCACGTGTGTAGTGTGATGGTCACGTGTGTAGTGTGATGGTCAAGTGTGTGGTGTGGTGTGTGATGGTGTGTGGTGGTCGAGTGTGTGGGTGTGTAAAATAAGTGCGAAAGTCGAACCCTAAAAATATAGACTGGTTACTGTAACATCACATGTAATCAAGGTATTTAAGAAGGTCGTTGCCAGGAGGTTTGTACCTACAGTACATGAAGGAAGTTGACCTTTTCAACAGCAGACAACCTGGATTTAGGCAAAAAAGTTCCTGTTTTCGAAGTTACTGGAGCATTACCATCAAATCCTGTTCATGCTGGAGGAGGGGGCCGGGGTGGACGTGGTGCATTTGAACTTCACGAAAGCGTTTGACAAAATTTACTATGTAGAGCTCTTCAGAAAACTTTGACTACCGGGAATCAGGAGAAAGTTTTTTTTTTCGTGGATCCACAGCTTCCTAGATGTAGAAGTGAGCCGCGCCTCGACATCGTCATACGCGGATGACACCAGGGTGCTGATGGTTACGGACAGGAGACTGCGAGAGTTAGCCAAGCGACCTGTCTGCAATATGTGACTGAGCTTAAGTGAAGAACATGCAGTTCAACGGAACCAAGATTGAGGTTCTGAGATATACAGGTAACAGGAGCGAACTCGTTCACGATCTTGGAGTGTTGATGAATACTTAGGTCAAGTTTGGTGAGCGCATAGCGTTAATAATCCCAATAGGCGGACGATCGATGGGGGTGAATCTGGCGGACGTTCAGAACAAGAGAAGCGGAACCGATGATCACAAACTTCAGAGCCCTTGTGATCTCAACTCTTGAATACTGCTGCCAGCTATGAACCCCAGTGCGGCAAATAGAAGCGATGCAGCTAACCTTTACGCCTGGGTCTGTACTCACTGCAGAGGAATCCTGGTACGTCACTGGCACGTCACGTGCCCTGGTACGTCATCTTGACGTATCAATTTAATTTTCACATGGCGCTGGTGCAGGTTCGGTATTGCTGTGCAACGGCAAAGAGTAACTCAATAAGAAATAAACGGATGTAAAATATTATTTTGTACCCCTGTTAAAGTATGTTAATTAATTAACCACCCCCCCACAGGTGATGGTGGGGCGACGTGCCCACATCACCGTCATCACCCGCGACTTCAAAGGGGAGCGCGTGGGGGTGGGCGGGGCTGAATTGACCGCACGTTTATCACCCTTCACCCCCACCCCCTCTGTGTCCCCTTGCTCTTCTAAAACCTCCAACCCCAACCTCATCCTCGCCAAAACCTCACCTATTGGGGTTACTTCCCCCGATGTCAACACCCCTAATGGCAACACATGCATGAATGGCAACACTGCGGAAGGAGACAAGTCAACAGCTGGCAACCCACATGGCAATGAGATGTCCATGCATTGTGCCACATTAGGTGCTGAAACTTCTGTCGATGGTACCACATTAAATGATGAAAACCATGTTGGAGACGATATATTAAATGGTGAAAATCATAATAATGTTACCAGTCCTAGTGGTGAAACTCTTATTGATGACCTCACACATAATGGTGAACAGGCTGGGACTGAATTCTGCGCTACAAGTGATAGCAGTGTTGCCAATCTCACCACCGATATCAGTGTTGCTAACCACGCCAACGATGATAGCAGTGTTGCCAACCCCCTTTATAATGATAACAGTGTTGCAAACCCCCCAACCGATGATAATAGTGTTGCCAATCGCGTTAACGATGATGTCAGTGTTGCTAACCACACCACCGACGATGCCAGTGTTGCCAAACTCCTGTCAAATGTTCCTCCAGCGATCAGCGATAACTCTGTATCGCGGGACGTTAACCGCTACAGCCACCCTAGCGTGCGACGGTCGATAACCGACGAAGGCTCGACGATGACCGACTCCCATGTCAGGGATTCGACCCGACGGTCGATAACTGACGAAAAGACGATGTCAGACTGGGCCGTGAAGATAAGTGACCACCACAACGGCGTGTACGACGTCGAGTACGTCGTGTACCGTGCAGGCAGATACGTGCTCGAGCTACGTCTCTACGGCACCCATATCGACCAGAGCCCGTACACGGTAACTGCCGTGCCTCCGCCTACCGTGCATTCAGGGTCATCGTGCTCCGTGCACGGCAGCGACCACAGCGACGGTCATGGTCGTACACGACAGTCAGCGCGCTTCTCGACCGTGAGTGGCGTGAAGAGTGCCGTGAAGAATGGCATGAAGAGTGCCGTGAAGAATGGCATGAAGAGTGGCGTGATGAGTGACTTGGTGAGTGGCGCGATGAGCGGCGTGAAGAGTGACATAAAGAATGGCGTGGTCAGTAGCGTGGTGAGTGGCGTGGTCAGTGACGTAATGAATTGTGGTGTGGTGTGGCGTGGAATGTGGCGCGTGGCGTAAGAATTAGCAGGATTATTTGAGTAAAGATGCCTGTACCCGGGGGAAATTTTAGCGGAAAAAAGTATTTCCTCATCTGCATGCGCCAGTAAATCGTTAGAAGCCTAAAGGGGACGTCTGTTACGGTGTAAGAATATGAGACGTGAAAATGATAGTGAGTTTGAGTAAGCTTTAAGTAAAGTAGTTTTAAGTAAAGTAAATAAAAAAGTAAAGCTCTATAGTCAATTTCGGCTAATATTAGCCGCTAATACTATTGGCTAATATTGGCCGCTAATTGTATCGGCTTATTTTAGCCACTAATGCAGGGTGTTTCTCGGAAACTTCCTGTTTTGTGTTTCACGTCAAGCAGCCAAATGTTGTAGGAAAGGGGCGGGGAGAATTTCATATGAAAGGCAAGGTCATGAAGTTTTGTGTCCCGCCTAGTCGATTGCCTTTATCCATTAAACAAGTGAGCAGCGTGCGTTTTCTGTCGAGGCTTACTTTTCTAATGGCCGTTTCATTATCGCTATTCAACGAGCATTCCGTACTCGGTTCCGTATTCATCCCTCAGGTCGGTTTCCTGAACGAAAATCGATTGTTCCGTGGGTACATTTAGGGCAAGTGGAAGTGTTTTTCTGTGGGGTAATCTTAAGTCTATAGTTTATAATGACTGCCCAAGGACCTTACCTCGTTTGAAGAATAATATACGCCAAGCTATCGCCAATATACTCATCAATATGCTTCAGGGACTTGAACGGAACTTCAAAAATCGACCAACTGGATGCATTGATAATGAGGGCCGTCATTTGTCCGATGTAGTCTTAAAAACGAAATCTTATAAATATTCAGGTAATGTATTTTCAAATAAAATTTTAATTGTAATTATATCTATACTAGTTTTTTTGAGTTTTCAAATCAGGAAGTTTCCGTGAATCACCCTGTGCTATTGGCTAATATTGACCGCTATGACTATAATATTAGCCGCTACTGCTGTTGGCTAATATTGGCCGCTAATACTACCGGCTAATAAAAATACTGCCTAATATAATCCCCGTTTACCTTGTCACCTGCGTTGCTCTCTAGTTAATAAATTAATTAATAATCAATCAATTAAATAGTCATTAATTGAACGGCAGGCGTCCCGCACGACGCCCTCGCTGCGGTCGTCGGGAGGCTCGCGTCTCACGATGCCCTTAGAAGACGACCTCATCTTCAAGGTCGGCATCAAGGGCCGCAATAAGGGAGAGTTCGTCAATCCCCAAGTGGGTATGGGGCATTTAGGGGAAATTTCCTTTCTTGAATTGTTGTTTTTGTTTATTTCGTACTGAAAATTTAATTATTATTTGGATTTCAACAATTTTTTTGTAGGAAGGTAGTGCTTATTTAATTTTTGCCTCTGAAAAACGAATTTTTGCCTAAAAATTCATATTTTGCCTCTACTCTAAATTTTCGCCTTCTATCTGTTCTGTTTCTATCTGACAACGGGTTGTATAAACATAAATGTACAAAATTAGGTTCTTATAATAGATAAATTTTCATAAGCATTTAATATTTTTATATTTATACCCTGACCCACAGGGCGTGAGTTACTCCGCCCTGCGCGGAGGTCGCCTCATCGTCACAGACTCCATGAGTCAGTGCGTGCAGGTGTTCAGCAGCAGCGGTCAGTTCATCACCAGGTGAATTAAGTTACACTTTCANCCATGAGTCAGTGCGTGCAGGTGTTCAGCAGCAGCGGTCAGTTCATCACCAGGTGCGTGCAGGTGTTCAGCAGCGGCGGTCTAATATTAACCGCCAAATATCAAATTCGCTGTATATTTGCATCGCACGGAGTGAATTATAGGTGCTTGTACACGGGGATAGTACTAGCGGCTAGTAGATTAGAAAATTGCCAAATGTCTGCCGCTTGGTGTCTAAGCTTACTTGCGGGATAGACACCAAGCGGCAGACAGTTGGCAATTTTCTGATCTACTAGCCGCAAGTACTATACCCGTGTACAAGCACCTTAAGTTACAGTTTCATATCGTAATCTTCCATGTCACGATATTTATATTATCAAGTCGTACAACCGAGCGTCGTAACACTTAACGACTGTCGTAGGTTCGGCACGCGGGGGCGGGGCGTGGGGCAGCTGCAGCGCCCTACGGGGGTCACGACGCTGGGCGACGGGCGCTACGCGGTTGCCGACTACGACAACAAAGTCGTGAGCGTCTTCGACCCCAGCGGCAAATTTGTGCACAGACTCGGACATGGCAAGCTGCTCGGTGAGATATATATGCTTTTATGTTCATTTTATCTATTCTTTATATCATTACATGTAGAATTGTATGTGAATTTACATCATCTATGCTTTTCTGCAGCTAATTTTTCTTTTAGTTGATATATAGGAAAATAATACGTAGGACACGCGCAGGATTTATTAGCATATCAATGGCAGGAGTAGGCTATCACAACCGTCTACTTCGGTCTCGTGTCCGGTACAACCCTTTTTGCAACCACTCACTCCGACACTCCCGGTACCAACCTATTTGATATGCTCCCGGTAAAACCCTCCCACAAATAGCGGAAAAACGCACATTTCACAGCACCACCCTAATTCAACCTTTGCCACGGTCACACGACAGGCCCGAAGGGCGTGTGCAGCGACCAGCACGGTAACATCGTTGTGGTTGACAACAAAGCGTCGTGTGTGTGTGTCTTCACCCCCGGCGGGCGACTCGTGACGCGCTTCGGCAGCCGTGGCACCAACTGCCTACAGTTCGCCGGACCACACTTCGTGGCGGTCAACAGCCACAACCACATTGTGGCGACAGACTTCCACAACCACTGCGTTAAGGTGCGTCGCCGCAGTCAAACAAACCACCTCGTTTTTGCCCGCATTTTCCTCTTAGTGCAGCGTTCACAGATGTTTAACAACGCGGGTGCCCGTAGGTTTTAGATTTTTTGCTTGCCCGCAGGTGTTTGACAGCGACGGCCAGTTTGTGCTCGCGTTCGGTAGTCACGGGGAAGGCAACGGGCAGTTTAACGCTCCCACGGGCGTCGCGGTTGACGCCCACGACAACATCATCGTCGCGGACTGGGGCAACTGCCGTATCCAGGTGTGTGACTTGATACCGTCTGACGTGTAAGACGTAGTATAACTAAATATTTGGCGTACACACACAGACTTCGGAATACGACAATGACGGGCAGTACGTCCACGTGGATCCCGAATTATGTCTGTGTTTTAATGACAAGTTTGTTCGTTTCAATGGAGGTGCTGTATAAGCACACACGACGCACTATCAACCACATACGCATTGCTATTGAAATGTCTTAACTTGCTGAGCTGAGATCCCAGTCATTGCCTCACGAAGTTATCATCGCCTCAGGTGGCATGCCGCGTCGCTCGTTCAATTCACACTTCTCTGTCGGCCCCCGCATTACTAACCACGTGTATATCGGGAGTTTGTGCCGTCATGACGGAGTGTTATTTGTCCCGCAGGTGTTTGACAGCGGCGGGTCGTTCCTGTCGTACATCAACACGCTGGCTGATCCTCTGCATGGCCCCCAGGGGCTTGCCTACACCCCTGATGGCCACGTCGTCGTCGCTGACAGCGGCAACCACTGCCTCAAAGTATACCGCTACCTGCAGTAGGGGCTGGGAGAGGTGCTTCAGGATGGACTAATGATGGACTGATAGAAGTTGCTGCAGTAGAGGCTTCAAGACACCACCATTTAGACGCGCGAGGAACGGCTAATGAAAGCCGGCTTGAGGAAGAGAAGGAAGGGCAAGAGGAAGGTAGGACAACGCCAGGGGAAGGACGGGCAGAGGAAAATCCTAGATAATTGTAGGGAGTCTCTGCACGCGATGGAGCAGTTCCGGTCCCAAAATGAAGGATGCAATGATGTCAACCACCGTAACTATGACGTAGGCAATGCAATGTATTATTTAGCCTCAGGGGTTTCGGCAGGAGGACATCCATAACCATGTCAGCCATAACCACCATGTCGACTATACCTACAAGACAAGGCACATGGCGGCTTGTTGCTGCTGCACGTGATGACAGAAATAACAGGTCTGAGAATATTAACATGTTGATTATATATAACTATATAACATTTCACGCATAGCTGAAACCTCGCAGATTTACCAATTTAGCAATCAATACGCATCTTTTTGATCGCTTACAGTAACTCACCTAACGTTACGGTCATGATCACTCATGTAACATGTCTCGCGTACACGACTTTGCATGCCTTAAATAGCCATGTACGTGTACCTCCACGTACACGATATACATGTAAGTTATGTATCTATTATAAACTGTGAACGCAAACGTGTTTAACATTCCCTCTCCTGGCTCTGGTAGTGACCAGAACAAGATGACCTGAGAGCAATCTTAGCGTCATAAATAAACGTCGCAGTCACATGCACCTTGCGCCGGACTTCTCGTCTGTCATTGATGGGTTTACCTTTTAATGCCGTCAGTGATTGGATGGCGGAGTTATAACCTCGTAAATATTTTAATAGCGCGGCCAGAGATCATGCAACTGAAAACTTGATTCCCTCGACGTTACCCTCTATTTCAGCGCAGTTGGATATCCTGTCCTCACTTCAATTGAACTTTAAGGAAAATATATAACATTAATGTAAGAGTCAAGGATGAGTTGAGCTTGCACAAGAGACACGACGCAGCGAAGACTTGCGTGATACTTCAGATATTAGCGAGCATTGAGAGAGCAACTTCTTACCAGCGATTGATTTAATGTGGTACCAGACTTGAGGTGTCCGAAGCACCAGCGATGCAAAAACAATGAAGACAACATTGGGAATTCAACAAAGCACAAAATTTCATATAATTATTGATTGAACAGGCTGCCTTATTCAAATCAAAGGTAACAGTTTGCAAATAACAAACTTAATTTACACGTAAAATTCTACCACCTGCAAAGTCGTACAGCTGGGGACAGAGGGGGCGGCAAACGCGTAGCAGGAAGACAACATCTGCCTCTCGTAACCCTTCAAGTTGGTGCAACTTTTAACATGCGTGACTTCATTTAGAAGTAGGTTTCCTTCAGAGCATATTACTTAATTTAATACAGCAATAATTGAGTTGATCAGAAAGGCTATTAGGAAATGGTACCCCCAGCAGCCTTGGGTGTGGGCGGGAATAACATGAGTAATGAAGACAATTCAGTCTCCCCTGGGGCAAGGGAGGTCATTTGCTTCAACTTAGAAAATATCATTCCAATTAAATAATAATCATTCCCATATTTGTAATATTCTTGCACTATAATATAACAAACGAGTTTTTCTTGAATGGCCAGTGTGGTGAGATTAGGAGAGAATAGAAAAATTAAGAGTAAAGCCAACCCACAATAGAGTAATATCAATCTACACTACAAGAGTACCTACAGCAATAACACGTGAATTAACAGCGAAATTATATTCGAAAAGTTTCATTTCGATTGAAAAATTAGGATAAAAAATGTCGCCATAGCCCCACAAAAAAAAAAAAACTCAAATTGGATCTAGTATTTTTACAAAATCTGGAATTGTACATCATTGTATACACAGATAGAAATTCTTATTCAAAACATTATCTCTGTCCCCTGTTAGGGGATTTTGATGTTCGCCTTTTTAGAGATTTTAACACTAGTTTGTTGGGCGATTTTGACGACCTTCTGTTGGAGTATTTTGAATTGCTTAATTTGAAATATCGATCTTTCGACGAAGATTTTGCATTGTATGACTTTTTAAAGGCACCAAAGCCTTTCGGTGATGATCTCAAAGCTTTGCTCCGGGCGAGTTTACCAAGCATGCGCTTGACGCCTTTCTTGTATTTTGATGAATTACGTTTATTCAATGAACCCCTAGGAGCGGATGAACGATCGCGGTCTTGAAAACTTTCTGAAAACATCCTCTTCTTGCGTCGCGGCATTTCTTTGTCCTCAAAAGAAGACGATAACTCATGTTTGCCACCGGGGAAGCTAAGCCTTGACTGCACGGAAGGCTTCGAGTTCACAGAGGCGCTGCGTTCGGCCAAACTAACCACATACTTGAGGGAACTCACGTCTACATTCAGGATCTTGTCCAAAGCTCGTGCCAGGCCCTCACGTTGCTCAGGCCCCACCATCCTTATGGTGCTGCGTTCCAGCGCGGCAACTCGGCGCTCGATTTCTTTTTTCGTGCTTTTGCCATCGCCTCTACCCAGGCCACCCAAGACGTATGTACCGAGGGTCCTGAGAGCAACGAGGGCGCTGTTCAGGGTACTGTCACTGCCACGTGTCGAGTATGCAAGGCAGCTTTCCCTCAAATTCACAAGACATTTTTCAATATCAATAGGCCGATTTATCTGTGATAACTTGTTCTTGACTTCGTGGATTAAAGATTTTCGGCCCACGGGCAGGCTGTCTAGTAGCGACTTGTACCGCTTTCGCTTCAACGATCTGAGTCGTTCCTCAACTTGCACGCTCAACTTGAGGTTAAAGTCATTGACCTTTCGTAATTTTGAGCCGAAATTAGCGTCATCATCTGAGGAAACATCACTGGCATCTATCACCGATTCGTTCGAGTCTGAGTCCGAGAGCTCATTCATTTCTGAACCGAAATCAGAATCGCCAGAATGGGAATAACAGTTGGACGCAGGAATCACTTTCCGTAATTTCTGAGATTGCAGTTGGTCGAAAGCGGCGTACTTTGAATCTTCAAGTTGCGCCGTTTTACTTGGGCGATTCTCACGGGAATCTAGACTCGTGCTGCTCCATGACTCAAGTTCTGAGTCGGAGTTACTGTTGAGTTTGAGGTCCCGCAGGAGATTCCTCTCATAGCGTTTACTCGACACACTCATCACATCTGAGTCATTTGACTCATCTTCCTGATGAGACAGATACTCACGACTAGAGCCAGCCGAGTCACCGTCTAGGGATGTGTCAAGATCAACGTCCTGATCATTGTCCTCGTCTGTGTTCACAGCTTCTTCTACTTGCCTCTTTCTCTTCTTATTATTTGATTGCGGCTCTAGTTTATCCTGGTATTGTGCGACATTCTGCTTCTTAGAGCGGGCATTCTGCCCCTGCCTGGCCCTGTGTGTCCAGAGGCTTGTGAAGGCCGTCGAGTAGGTGAGGCGGTCCAGCTGCTGGAGGCTCTCCTTCACTCCTTCTGTCTCAGCCTCCCTCCCCAGCATGAAGAGGATACACCGCAGGGCTGCGTCCAGCTTCGCCCCCTTCACCCAGAGCTGTCGGGTCAAATACCAAAACTATTTTTTTGGAGAACACGTCATATTTCTATAAGAAAAATTAGTTAGATGTTACTTACACACGTACAACTGTCGGATAAATGATATACAGTGGGTTTTTGTGGCAAGACATTGAAAAGTAATGTCAGGTGATGAACGCTTGGTTACGAGACCAACCGTGACGCTGTGTATCCCCTAGGGGGTGCGCCGGCTGCTGTACTCAACACAGCACACAGATAACACATACTCTACACAGCACACAGATAACACATCCTCAACACAGCACGCAGATAACACATACTCAACACAGCACACAGATAACACATACTCATCACAGCACACAGCTAACACATACTCATCACAGCACACAGATAACACATACTCATCACAGCACACAGATAACACATACTCAACACAGCACGCAGATAACCCAATGATACCCACCACGGCGCTGTCGTGGTCGTGCTGCTCGACGCTGATCTGGCAAGAGAAGAGCTGTCGCAGCGCCTTGATAACGGAGCCCTGCTTGCCGATGATGTGGCCGATGTCGCGCGTGTTGTTGAGCGCCACGCTCGCCCGCACTGTCGTGTACTTCTGCACCGTCTGTAGGGAGACAGGGAGACGTGACTGCTGCACGGTAACAGATCNTTGTTGAGGGCGACGCTCGCCCGCACTGTCGTGTACTTCTGCACCGTCTGTAGGGAGACAGGGAGACGTGACTGCTGCACGGTAACAGGTCTACTGTCGTGTACTTCTGCACCGTCTGCAGGGAGACAGGGAGACGTGACTGCTGCACGGTAACAGATCTGCAGCATACACGATCTACTACAACACACACGGTCTGCACTACACGGCAACAGGTCTACTGCAGCATACACGGCCGTTCTCGAAGCACTTGTGTGATGAATCATACACTGAACTGATATTAGAGAAGCTTAAACGGCAGCACGGCAATGATATACACGGCAGCACCGTAATGTCACACGGCAGCACCGTAATGCCACACGGCAGCACGGTAATACCACACGGCAGCACGGTAATGCCACACACGGCAGCACAGTAATACCACACGGCAGCACAGTAATACCACACACGGCAGCACAGTAATACCACACGGCAGCACAGTAATACCACACGGCAGCACAGTAATACCACACGGCAGCACGGTAATGCCACACACAGCAGCACGATAATACCACACGGCAGCACGATAATACCACACGGCAGCNCACACATACAGTAACAAGAATCCTACATAATATTTTACACTATTGTTATGACAACTGTTTTGCATGCATCACAACCCATGTCTTTAACTGAATTTCATTTAAACTCAGAACTAACCCTGAGACAACAGTTGCGAGGGCACTTCTCTCTGGTGGAGTGCCTCGTGTCTCCACAGAGTAGGCAGTGGTCAAGGCGTTTGCACTGAGCTATGGTGTGGTCATGGGCTCGGCAGCGGCTGCAACGAGTTGTCACTTTCTCAAAGTAACGAGGCTTCCGACCTGTCTCTTATACACATCTAGATGTGTATAAGAGACAGGCATCACAGTAATGCCACACGGCAGCACGGTAATGACACACACGGCAGCACGGTAATACCACACGGCAGCACGGTAATGCAACACACACTGCAGCACAGTAATGCCACACGGCAGCACGGTAATGACACACGCGGCAGCACGGTAATACCACACGGCAGCACACTAATGCAACACACACTGCAGCACAGTAATGCCACACGGCAGCACGGTAATACCACACGGCAGCACACACGGCAGCACGGTAGCAACACACCTCGCCATAAGGATGAGGCAGCCCTGGTGGAGGTTGGTTGTCCTGCTCAGGAAGCTCCTCGGTCAGCACCGTCAGGCCCAGGCAGTCGCGGGTGGGCTCTGCAAAGCTCCGTATGTCCTGCGTGTAGGTGTCAAGTGTTAATGCCAGCCCGTATAATGCATACGGTCACAGCTATACTACATGCCGTGGGAAGCCCGTATCCTGCATACAGTCACAGTTATACAACATACCATGGGCGTCCCGTATCCTGCATACGGTCACAGTTATACAACACGCCATGGGCATCCCGCATCCTGCATACGGCCAGTGCTATATACATACAACACAACTAGCAAGTTATATAACTCGAGAGATGAATGAGCTCGTTGATTATTTGTAAGTAGTCCGCAAACTCCCACTCTCTAAAACAACTGTACGGAGTGAGATGCTGCACGTTATGCTGCACCTGACAATGCTGTATGTTATGCTGCACCTGACATTGCTGCACATAATGCTGCACGCGGTGCCCACACGCAGCACCTTCATGCCCAACGCCCCCACAGGAGTAGCACGTAGGCACCCGCGTTGGGTGTTGAGTTCGTGGACGCTGGGGCACTGCCCCTTCTGTCTGTCGGATATAATAAATAACAATAAATAAAAATAACAATAGTAATAACAATAACAATAATATAAATAACAAAAATAACAATCGTAATAATTAATAATAATAATAACAATAGTAATAATAATATGTTGGATCTTGGTCTGACATTTATTTACTGGCAAATGACTGAGCATAAGAAATGGAAGAATGTCATGACAAAAGAATGAAGATTTCAACTGTTTTGCATTTTAATTTGGCAATCAATCATAGATATAAAAATTAGAAAAAGTAGAAAATATACATGCATTATGAACAATGTAATAAATTTATTTTTATTAAAATAAACAAAATGCAAGAAATTAATTTTTATGGCTTCCTGGTGGCAGAAATGTGGATGAAAATATCAGATAATGCCGCCATATTGAGATCTCAAGCAATGAGTTCAAGTCAATAATTTAAAAGCAAAGAAAACAGCCAAAAAATTTACCATTTCTAATGAGAGAATGGAAGTTTAAATATAGGGGAAAATAGCATTAAGAGAAGATGAGTGACTTGGTAAAAAAACGTTATTTACGGACAGATCAGTTTAAAACTTGGTACACATATGTGAAACAAAAATATGAGACAAATGGTATATCTCTCAATGCTGTAGCTTGAAAATCATAGGAGGAGATTGATTTTTGAGATGGCATATTTTGGAAATTTCAATTGTTCAGGGGAGCCAAATAAGTAAAATTTATCGAAAAAAGACAAAAATGCTAAAAAATTGCTTGACAATTCAGCCCCAGCTTCCCATTGCCAAGTAATTGTATATTGAGAATATCATCGCGTGTCTCCAGACTTATTCTTGTTCAGTTTAATGCAAATAATAAGGTATAACTGTTATTTTTCTGATTTAGATATTTCTATAAAATGGTCATTTTACAAAAGTTCAAAATGCCTAATGCAAAAATCTTGCATGTACATCCTTGGTGTTAACGCATCTTGTTTGTAGCTTTCAAACGAGTTAAAACACTTTGCAATTGACGCGAATAATGAACTATATTTATAGTTTTCAAAATAAAAATTGTTATAAAATCATCAATGTATAAGAGTTCGAACAAGCCTTACGAAAAAAATATTGCATGTACATCCAGGGTTGTGGTTTCATTGAACGGCCTTGTTTGCAGCCTTAATACAAGTGCAAAAACTTAGCAATTAACATAAATAATTATCACAGATTTAATCAAATAAATATTTATAAACAATTGTTATAAAATGTTAATTTTATAGGAGTTTAAAACAGCCTCTCGAAAGAACCATGAAAGCTCCCTCATCGCGGTTTGTTGCAGCCCCTTTGTAATAATTCTACCTACAAAATGAAATAAAAACACAGAAAACTTTATTCCTTCATTTTTCATCCTTCGTTTGCTCCTCTTAAATAAAACAAAATAAAATAGCATGAAATGAAATAGTTAGAAAGCAGGAAAAGTGTAGCTTGTATACTGCCTTGCTACTAAACTACCAAAATAGCACTTTTCTCATACATTTTAAGAACATTAAGAGAATATTTTTGAGGAAATTTCCAAGCTGCTGGAGTGACTCACAGTGAAGGCATATCTGCGCCACAGGTCAGGGCAGATGTGCTTGACGTGTCCCTTGTATCCGCATGCCTCACAGCTGTTCCAGGGGCATGTAAAGGGGCAGAAGGCATGAGGCTTCCCTCCACACTGTAAATAAATATATACATAATAGGTATATATATATATTGCTACCCTACATTATTGTAATGCATAAAAGTAGTGAACATTTATCTGTCAATAATATTCAATATATATATTTAAATACAAGGCTTCCCTACACACTGTTATAATAAATAGTTTGCATCAATATATTTTTTTAAAGTAAAAATAACATAAGTGACATTTAGAGACCTACTAAAGAACATAAACCTATTAGTAAAGCAAAATAAATATGGACAAAGCAAATGTACTGTGCCTCAAGCCCTTTAGGTCACATTTATCCTGTAATTTCTGACATCTCATAAGTAGACTGGAGTGTCCATGCAGGAAGGCATCAATGGATTCTACTCCATTTAGTCATCATATTTCAACAAGTCGAGATCCACAAAATATTTATTAATACATATTTTATTTCATTATTCATATATTCTAGTTCACATATAAAGTTTGAGTAATAACAACTCCACCTCATCCACCTTAATCTTAAGAGATTTTTCAATCCACTTTGCAAAGTCAAAAAACTTGACATTTGTGAAGGTCATGAGACACCATCTCTAAATATTGTCAGGTTTCAGCTGCACAGTATCTTCTCCCTGACCCAGCATGATTCATGATACCTACACTACAACATGTAGAAAAAATATAACTCAGTACTCACTGCAGTGAGTGACAGAGCTCATTTTCTCGACGAAAACATGACGTCACGGACGGACAGACAGAGAGACATGGCGAGGACAATATTGTATTTTTTTGTAAATGAGAAAATGCGCTAAAAAGTACTAGTATAAATCCCACACACAGGAAACAACCATGAGGAGGCATATATTATGTTGAACCTCAGCTGGACTGGACAAACCACAGGTGATGTTACACTTGCAGTGATGCAATTCACACACATACAGTAACAAGAATCCTACATAATATTTTACACTATTGTTATGACAACTGTTTTGCATGCATCACAACCCATGTCTTTAACTGAATTTCATTTAAACTCAGAACTAACCCTGAGACAACAGTTGCGAGGACACTTCTCTCTGGTGGAGTGCCTCGTGTCTCCACAGAGTAGGCAGTGGTCAAGGCGTTTGCACTGAGCTATGGTGTGGTCATGGGCTCGGCAGCGGCTGCAACGAGTTGTCGCTTTCTCAAAGTAACGAGGCTTCCGACGACCATAGAGACGATCAGGGTAGTCATCTGCATCCAGCTCCCACTCGATTACGCTATCTGATCATCAGTGACAAATTTCTTGAATATTAATATTATTATAAGCTTGGGTCTGGAGATAAATGCAAACTGATAAATTAATTTCTTCTTTGTGGGACAGTAGTAATTAAAATTTTAAATAATATCAGAGACAAGCTTCAAGTCAACAAATAGGTCTGTCACAACATTAGGCTTGTTTCCAATTGTATTATTTCATTTCATTAAGAGGAAAATTAGGATCAAGCATTTTAAAGTGGTAATAATATATGTTTAAAAATTACTTTTTAAAGACAACACTTCCAAAGAATCCAGTGTCTCCAATCTTACAGATGTATGATGAATTTCTCATTTAATTTTCAAATATTAAAAAATTAATTTTTCTTCACACAAGTGTGCAAAATTTCAGATCAATTAGACAGGTAAAAGTGTGTCAAATATCAGTTATAAGATTTGTAGCTGACAAAATTATTTTTCAATTTTTTTAATATTGAAAAAAAATTTTTTTTTACTTTTTAAAATCATTCATTTTGACATTTGATTCATGCATTGTCTCCAACTTTACACAAGTCTGCAAAATTTCAGATTGATATGATAAGTAGAAGTGTGTTAAATTTTGATTACAAGATTTGTAGCAGACAAACAAACAACAAGAAGTGAAGTTAAAGAGAAGTGTTGTAAGAATATGCATTTAAAAATTACTTTTTAAAGACAACACTTCTAAAGAATACAGTGTCTAATATGGTACACATCTACAATGAATTTCTAATTTTATTTCCATACATTAATGAAAATTAATTTTTAATTTTTTTAATATTAATATATGAAAAAAAAATGTTAAATTATTTATTCTGTCAATCGATTCATGCCTTGTCTTCAACTTTGCACAAGTGTGTGAAATTTCAGATTGGTTGGACAGGTAAAAGTGTGATGAATATCGATAAGATTTGTAGAAGAAAAAATTATTTTTTAAATTTTTCAAATAAAAAAAATTTTGGGGGGATTTTAAAATTATATACAGTATTCTGTTAATTGATTTATGCATTGTCTTCAACTTTATGCAAGTGTGCCAAATTTTAGATCAATTGGACAGGTAGAAGTGTCTTAAATATTGATTATGAGATTTGCAGCAGACAGACAAACAAACAAAAGTGAAGTTAAAGAGAAGTGTTGTAAAAATGGAGTCTCACCAGGCATAGTTCTATGAAGGTCCTCCAGCTCGTAATCTTCAGAAAAATCTGAGTCATAAAAAGATGTCATGTGCTGAGACCAGTGAGGCACAGAAGGGGTTCTGAGGCGCTGCTCTCGGGAACTTGCATAGTCCATCGGCCAATGGGTTCTTTGGCAGGATAATCTCTTTGTCTGATTTTTCTTGCAGTTACTCCCATCAAGGTCAACAGAAAAATTGCACAACATTGAGCCATTTTCTAGACTTTCCCCACCAGAATCACTTGAATCATCAGGAATAAATTTGGTGGGAGCCCAAGTGGGCAACCTCTTACCTGCCCTTGAGGAAGGTTTTATTTGGGATGTTCTCACTCCAAGCTTTCTTTTAACAGCATTAATTTTATTGGATAAAGTGTGGCTAGAATCATTTAGTGCATTGGAAACACTGGAGCTTTCAGCTGTGCTGTCATCTGAATCTATCAATATTACTTCGCATTCATTATTTTTCTGGTGCTTTGCAGACATGTCTTTCAGGCTTCTTTTTGCTGGCTTTTTCTTGGTTCCTGCTGGAGTTTGGAATTCAAATAATTGACTACCTTTACTTATGGACAGGACAGAAAAGGGAGAAGAATTTCTATCCTGAGAAGTAGTTTCATTGAGGAGAGGTGTACTTGAATTGGCATGCATTCCTGGTCTCATTTTTCTTGTAGCTTCCTTAGGAAATTTTTGTGCAGGTACTGATTTTTTGCCTAAAGAAAAGACATAACAGCCGGCAGCGGGACTTGAATCATACCCATTTTGCACTGGAGATAAAGTGTCACTTCCATTTAATCCTGGAGATTTACCACTGATCTCAGCTGAGATTGAAGGTCTTCTGTTGCTTAGATTATCCTTTAATTTACAAATTGAAGAAAGTTCAGGACCTGAAGTGTGTTGAATGTTTTTTAACTTAGCTTTGTGGTGTCTATTAACATCTTCAGATATTTGGTTCAATAGAAGGTAATTTGTTTCATTTTTTAGAAGATTCAAGGCATCTTCTTTCCCTTGAGTGCTCTTGCACAAACCTTGCAAGTTTCTATTTTCTTTTAAAATTACATCAGGATTTGGACTGCATTCTTCTGGATCTTGATGAACAGATTCATTGGCTTTATATTCCTTTTGCTTGTTATCAAGAATTATGTCCAAATTGTTAGTTAAACTAAGTGAGGATTTTTTGTAATAAGCTGGGTCTTTTTCTGAGGTAATTAAATCATCCCTAGAAATAATCTGAGTTTGTGGTGAGCTAAGGCGTGGAGCAAAATGAGGGTTTGGCTCAAAGTAGAGCTCGGAATACATTCTCACTTCCAAGTCACTGTCTTCATTTGAATCTGACTGATGAGAGCCAGGTAACTGACCCACATCAGTAGAGGTGGGGAGTCTCATACTTGCTTATAATCTTCAAACATGCAATATTTACCCTGAAAATAAAAAACATAAAAATTAAGAACTGGCACCAAGAACTAAAAAACATATAACAATATGGTAATAATTCACAATTCTATTTGAATGGAGCATCATGTTCAAACTTAGCTGCAGAGCAGGCATCAATAGCAATTACATGCTAATTAGTGAGAGTGACAGTTTGAAAGAGGAAAGTGATATTTGGAATTGGGTGCGTGGAGCAGGCATTGAATATATCAATTTTCAAAGCTGCAACGGAAGCTTTACTGCCATTTTTGGAACTACAGGATTCTTGCTAAACAAATCATCTCCTTATATTTGTTAAAGATTTTTATATAGAGCCACAAGGTTTTAATTTTAACAAAAATACCGTCACATTCAAGTCAATCTGGAATATTAAGCAAATTTCTAGTAAAATTTAATAAAAACTATGATTTATGGGCAATTTTTACAAATACCTGTGAAATTATGATGTTTTTCTAATTTTTGTATAAAGAAATTAGGCAAGGGACATAATAAGTAAAATTGATATTTTTAGCATTTTTGTCTCATTCATGGGAGATTTCTGTCCAATTTTCTGTAATGATTTGCTATTACAGTATGCCTGCTTACTGCTGCAATACTGCTTGCAAGAATGTCTGAATTTTGAGCCACAACTAGAGCTTTCCTACTTTTTTTGGAGTCACAAGGTTCCTGATAGATTAATTATCTGCCATCTAATTGTTAATAAAAGTGTTGGATTGCACCCCAGCCCCAAACTGGAAAACTAGGCAGAAGCCACCCATGAATTGGATTGCCCTTAAATCTGCCCAATTTCAAATAAATAAGAAAAATTAAGAAAATGGCCGATTGTTACCAGCAATTTATAATAATCACTTGTGAAACAATCATTTTTACCAACAATTTAAGGAGACTCCTGTCTAATATTTGAAATGGCTATAGCCTACAAGATTAAAAAATGTATTGAGAATTTGTCCCTATGGAGCTGCAAACTTTTGGAAATATAAGTGAAAATTCCCATCCTGAGCCTGCTGGCATAAAATATATCCTATGGCCTTTTCCTCATTTCTTCAGTGAAAAATGAGCATAAGGCCTATTTTCACCAACACTTTTTTAAAATTACCCATGAAACAATTGCTTTACCAGCAATCTTAGGAAATTTCTGCCAGTATTCCAAATTAGATTCCTGATAGACAAATTACCTGTAATCTAGTAATCTACTAGTATAGTTAACAAGAATGCACAATCGCATTGTGAGATTATAAATTTATAAAAAATTTGTCACTTGGTCACCACAAGATTTTGTTCCACATAGGAAAATTCCAATCTTGTGCACCTGCAGGCTGCAGCCCTGAAAAGGTTGAGATTGTGCAACTGCCATCATGGTGCAATTAAATATACATTTAAAATTCTCTCAGTAATTTGGGTTTGGTAAACCTAGAACTCAAATTAGAGGAATCATGCCATCAGCCATCAGATCCCATGCTGACAGCTGCTATTACACTGGCTGGCAGCTATGCAATAAAGCTCAGTCACAGTCAGGCTAAAACTCTGCTGTTCAAACAATGAATAAACTATCTTCAACTGCAAAATTGCCCATAACTTAATGCTGTAACAAGAAATCACTAATGTTTGATGATCATTAACAAATTAATAAAAACAAAATTATACCTTAACAGACACTGGTGCGCACAGAAAAACTTCAGCCACAACTTATTTTGACCTCATTTACACGTTTTTATTTGTAAATTTTATCTTGTTTGCTTTTAATTAATAAATGAAGGGCTGATGAGGTGACATGGCAAGCTGTATGGGGGTCAGATGGGGTAAGACAGGACCAAAATCACTAACAAGCCTGTAGCATCTATACCAAGAATAACTAAAAACCCTAAACCTATCGCAAGTTGTATATATGCAATGGGCTTCTAAGCTACAGCTCAGACGTTTTGCATCCAACATAGTTTTCTTTACAGATTAAAAAAGTGAGCTGGTCCCATCTTACCCCACTGGGGTAAGATGGGACCAGGCATGGGGTAAGACAGGACCAACAGGCAATTCTTATGTTACAAGGTTTTTAATAAAAGTACAAATCTGATATTCAATATTATAATCTATAAACACATTATTTGATTAAACAACCACTTGTTACTGTTTTGTGTTGCAGGAAGTCAACTCTAATATCAGTCACATTGGAGTTTTTGTCATGAGAAAACTTTGTTAAGCATAGTAATAGTGGGTTGGCTTTGGTTCATTGTAGAGCACTGTATATTCATGTATATTCCATTAGTGTCATTGTCTGAAAATTTATCAAATTGTTAATAAAACCAATGGATAATAACTCAAGTGTCAGACGTCATGTGTTTTCATGCTAACTGCATTTGTGGTGCACTTCTTCTAATGTCACCCATGCCCTCTCACAGAGTTGTGATAATAATTATTTTTCATGTTTCACACAATGATTTTTCCCCCAGCCAATCTTGAACATAGTTCTGCAGCTCACTAATGGGAATAGACATTCCAATTTTATATATCCCTTTGATGCAATTTAAAATAGTGTACTAAATTTCTCTAATTAAAAAAGCTAACAAGTTATAATGAAGTTTGAGCCATAGATAAAATTTTTGACCAAAATACTCTATGTACTGCACAATAATACATTCATTTAAAAACAATTTTTGACAAACTGTACCTAGGCCCTAGGGTAATAGAGGACCATTTGTGGAGGAAGACAGGACCATTTGTGGGGTAAGATAGGACCACTTGTGGGGTAAAACAGGATCATTTAGTGGTCCCGTCTGACCCCATGTCCAGTCCTTTTTTACCCCATTTTAGAACACATGTCAGGCAGTGATGGTAGCAGGTAGGAATGCCTAGTATGTTTTAAAAGTTGCTTATTACTTGAGGTTACCTGCCTACATCCACAAACCTGGCCAAAAAATTTTTTTCATTAGACAGAGCTTATTTCCCAAACAGGGTTAACTATTTTTGTGACCCTTCTTTACATAGGTTTTCTTCAAAAATTAGCCAGAAATTCATTATTTGCAGACGAGGGTTGCCACAAACACTGAAATGACAGGCAATGATTGCTCTAACATATTCTTTTGTCAAATTAAATTCAGTGCAATTAGAATGCACGCCATGGGCTGGTCCTTTCTTACCCCATGAAGGCTGCAATCCTGTCTTCCCCCATTTGACTACTATAATGCATTTCATGATTATTGAAATAAGTTTTAGACCAAAATATTGAGTAGAATTAAAAAAAAAATACTAGAGTGAAAGCCAAACCAAGTAGTAGAATCAAAATTTACCCAGAAACAATTTAACTTCACTGTGGTACAATTTAAATATTAAAAATAGAGAAGGCCATTGACCAATGTCACTTCAATACCACAAAATTATGTTGACACTTCACTTGTTCAAACTAAAGCAGAAGAATGGGGAACTCAAATTCTCATTTGCCCCCAAGTACCAAGTTCTATCAAAAAATAAATAGAAAATGATCTTTCATGTGAGAATCTCATTGTTCTACTAAATTTTAGATTAGATTAGAGGTTTGATAGTTTTGTTTTTTCTAAATAATCATAAATTATGCCAACTTATGACTGGGCTAAATTCATGTATAAACATTTCTAAATATAACACAATTATTGGATCATGATTTCTAATATGATTTGAAAATTGTAGGTATATACTTAATTAGCAACAAGATAAAGCACTCTTGGATTCGAGATGATGGTGCTTGCTACAAGATTCTCATATAATAGCATATTAATGAGATATGTTGAGAGCAATAATATAAGGTAACATTAAACTTGAGCATAAACTGCATCAAGAATAGAGGAAAATGAACCTTGCACAATGCGAGGTTCATTTACAATGTAATCTTGACTAATAGAAACTGCTTATATATGTCTATAGTCTTGAACTGCGTATATATGTCTATAGTCTTGAACTGTGTATATATGTCTATAGTCTTGAACTGCATATATATGTCTATAGTCTTGAACTGCATATATATGTCTATAGTCTTGAACTGGGTATATATGTCTATAGTCTTGAACTGCGTATATATGTCCATAGTCTTGAACTGCGTATATATGTCTATAGTCTTGAACTGCGTATATATGTCTATAGCCTTGAACTGCGTATATATGTCTATAGTCTTGAACTGCGTATATATGTNTACAGTACAAGTTAACAAAATACTTGACTGAAACTTGATCATTACAAACAAAAGGCCTGGAAAATGTAAAAAATCCATTAAATAAAAGACAAATAAAAAATATCTATCAAACAAGTGACATCTAAATAATTCTATTACAAATTTAATGTACTAGTATAAAATCGAAACATTTTGTCCACAGTCCACTTTTGATTCACCTTTTCATTTATTGTCACTTTAGTCATTCACCTGGAAGAGCACTGTGGGAATGGAAAAGCTTTTCAGCTTGGGTGGAAAGCTTTTTAATGAGTGAACTTCCATTCTTAGAATTCCAGCCTGCACTACAACAGTACAACACATAGTTACGATCGTAGCGTGTAGATCAATACAGCGCATCGGCCATATTGATCGTAAATCGCGATTTATGGAGAAGCATAATTGGCGACCGGCGTCCAGTGTGTCCAGTGGCATCCACCTCGGCATCTTTGGTGCATGAAATCGGCGTCCTCGACCTATGTTGTGCCATGCTCTACAGTCTGGTGCACACTGAGTCTGATGGCAGAACGCAGAATGGCAGTCTACAATAGAAATGCCTGTACCATGGAATGGATCAGAAAATTCAGAACCATCATCAGATCATCAGAATCATCAGATTCAGACATAGGCTAAACCAGAGCTTTTTTAGAATCAGTTCATTTTTAATTTCCTCATTTCCTCAAGATTGAAACCAATTTTTTAAGTATGATAATGCTGGTATCCAGGATACTTTAATGGTCTACATATAGGACTCAAAAATGAACTTGAGGGAGAGTCTAAAAAATTCTCTGCTTTGCCACTATGGATTCAGATTAATGCATAAACCAAGTTTTTTGAACATTGATAATGATAATTAATATTGGTCAGAACTCAGAGCCAAAATTTGTTTGATTATTATTACCATGTAAATGACGTACTAATCATTACAATTTTATTTTCTACCAAGGGGGTGATGAAGGAGGTGATGAACCGATGAAGGAGGGTAGCTAGAAAGTTCAGAGCTGTGGCTCACCGCTCACGTACAATTGAACAGAATATTATTTACGTTTATAGCTGACAGCATAAGTAAGGAAATGCTGTGGCAAATCAAATTATCAAGTAGCAGACTGCAGACTATTACTAGCGTCTAGCATTGACGTTTTGCGCTTAACTTTAGACTTTAGTCTATAATTATAAACGTGTTGAGACGGTTGAATTCGGTCTTATTTTAATTGCATTCACTAAGTAGTAGACTAGTAGTTATGTTCTGGAAAGCAAACTTACTCTAGCGTATTTTATAGTCGGGTTGAAGACTAGTGTCTAGTGGTGACAAAGGAAAGGGCTGATTGACCTCTCTCAGAATTCAGAAAACACAGGCGAAGGAAATATAGTCCTTCGATTATTTCGACCGTCGTCGACGACTGGGCAATGCTGAGTTATTTGACTTATTTCAGTCGTCCCGTCGACGACAGCGACTGGTTTACCTTCCTGGATTTCTAGATTGGGTTTAAGCATCAGCTGACGGATACACCGGAGATATTAGAGATAATCACATTACTTTATGCAAGTCTTTACTGAGATAAAAACAATAAATTCGTTTTTTAATGACAAAATATATATAAAGATACGCTTTTATAGAAAAAAATTCTGAAAATGAGCAAATAAATTTATTCATAGAAATTTATTAATGTACGTTAAGCTATTGATATACAACTTCCAGCCGTTACATAAAGTAGACCAAATCAAATTTCGTTTAAACTTTAAAACACCAACACTTCGAATATAACAACAACAAATCAACGAAACTGTACACAATCGTTGCATTTCTAAAAGATCAGCGAAGTCACGCCTATGCTGCATGTGCTCTCGTATAAAACAAGTCATAATGCAGTGATGGATACAGTGCCTGTACACGGGAACAGTACCGGCCGCAAGTTGATATGCCGATGGAACTGTCCAAGCTACTAGCCTGAATGGGGGTTCAGCTGCTTCGGTGGCATGTGACGAGACGCGGCTGAGAGGAGCAAGCATGTTTGCTTTTCTTCGCTGAGAGGCGGCTCGTTCTCAGGGCTAGCTACTCAGGGCTGATTCAGCCATGGTGACAGTATCTGTGTCGCTCTTTTTCTGCCTGGGGTCAAGTGAATCATGGCTTGTTTGAGCGACAATGGCTCTATGAACCCAATAAAGTGGAGTCCAGACGATATTCAATTGTTCTTGGAGATATTCCAAAAGTATGAACTAGTGTGGAATGTTCGCCATGCTGGTTACTCCAACAAAAATGAGTAGAGAAACTAATATTTTGAAACTGAAAGAAGACCTTATTAGTCAGGGTTTAGTTGTTCCCGACGTTGCATTTTTAATGACTAGAATATTGAGTATAAAAACGACGTACAGACTCGAGTTGTTGAAGATGATCTCGTCAAAAACCAGCGGAGCTGGGGCAAATGACGTTTACGCGCCCCAGCTACCTTGGTTTAAAACGGCGGACACACATCTGAATGGCAAAGTTTTGCACCTCCTCACATAGAGCTAAAGCAATTTCCTCAATGGCTTCATCAAAATTCTTTGCAAACTAATCCTCACTTAAACTTTTTAGACCTCACTCGACGGCTTCTAACGACGCACTGGCGGGCGCGAACAAGAAGATTTCGGCACCTTCTACTGTCCTCGTGTCTGAGCTTACTTGCCGAATAAACACCAAGCGGCAGACATTTGCCAGATCTACTTCTGGCCTGTACTGTCTCCGTGTACAAGCACCTAAATGAATATGAATCAGAGTTGATGGAGAAGTCTATAAACCAACAGAGTTAGTGCCGTCTATGCGAGGTTAAGGATGCTCTTCATCGTATCTTGACGCGTTGCCCTGATTATTGGATATAGGGCAATATTGTGATACAATGTCTCGCGGCAGTCACGCGAGACATTTAAGGCCCAAGCGGACAACCCACAGCAGATGGAAACTCACTCATGGAATCCAAGCGACACTACATTTGGCAAATGCGGCCTAACTGCGGAAACTTGATTGGCTTTAGTTGCCGGTGATTAAGAGGCGTACCTGGTACCAGTTAATTGTAGAAATACGGTTACAAATAATAAAGTCAAGGCAACTGAACTTGGCAGTAGTTAAAGAATTTTGGATAGCTTTAATGAATTTTTACATCCGAAAACTTTCACACTTGCAGTGTGTCTAATGTCATCCAAATATTTTTTGTTGTACGTACACAAGTCGTTAGATAATTGGTTGAATTGAGTGTAATTCGAGTTGCTTTCTTGACAATTCAAGTTATTTTTTCCCCTCAGGCGTGCTTCGCAAACCTCGCAAGTTTTGTTTTCCATTAAGATCACATGGGAATTTGAATAGCATTTTACTTGATCTTCATTAATAGCTTCTTGGGCATTTGATTCCACTCCATCGTTTTCAAGTTATTGGATGTAAATGATTTCTGAGACCAAATTATAGTTCTGTCGCATAAGCTTGGTCTTTTATTAAGACGATAGGTTCGTTTGAATGTATTTTTTTAATGCCTAAATTTATGATGAATCAGGCCAACTGCATCAAGGGTTTGAGACTCTCCTTTCAGGCCACCAGTGAGCAGTCAGATGAAGGAACAATAATTGAAGGATCTATATAATTCATCGCGTGCATATGAACAGACTTCACTGCATTACTGCTTGCTACCTGCACACAAACACATCCTGTTAGTTTATAAACACTGGTGTGAATAAATTATAAATAGCGTTTTCGCTATTAGTGTTTCAGCTATCATTACTATCCAGACTGCGAAATGAATTGCAGAAAATTGAATGCAATTGAAATTAACACGTTAATTGATACCAAAAATACTTTCACGGCCTTTGCCCGAAATTTTTTTTCGATTGTATCTTCAACTATATAGTGAAATTTAGAAAATAGGAAAAATTTGAAGTTTTAAATTAGACTTGTGCATTGTTTACTCGAACAGCGCAACGCGTGTTGCGAGACTATGACTGATGCAACATGGATCACATCACGACATGTGCATTGAAGGCATTGAGTTCCACTTATTTATGATGCACAGCTGTAGGCGTCGGTTGACGTGAGATTATTGGTCTTAACAATTTCACAGCATTGTATTCTGTTATTTATAATATTCCCATTACATTACCCATAAATAAACATATATTTGAGACACAATTGTGAAAACAAGCAAAATTTTTATGCTATTATTACAGATGATAAAAAGCAGGAATCATTGAGATGAACTCAATGAGTTTCTGAAAATGTTCTGAATACAGTGCTATAAAAAATACGCAGCTCACGAGAGGAAGGTACTTCGCAAGTGAAAAAGCTCATTACAGTTTCAAACAATCGACTCACTATAACGCAATTTTCCCAATAATATAGGCAACCATACAAAAAATCGTGCTTAATATTTGGTTCGAAAAACTCACTTGCTAAGAAAGTTTCTAGTCATGGCGTCGTGTTGTCGTTGTCGGGCACCGGCGCGGGAACGCACGCGCTCCTCGATACTACCGCCGGCCGCCGTGGCCAGCTCGGCACTGACGAGGAACACAGCAGTGGGTAATATTTGAGGGCTAGTAAATATTTCGATTGGACGAGAATTATTTGGGCTAGTCCTAACATATCAACCCCCTTAACACTTGTTCAGACAACTGTGTGTACAATTTATGCAACTATTTAATATACTGACAGTTATTTTTAAATTACAATTATTCCTACTAGATTAATCAGATATGCTGCAAAATATGTTCAGCTATGCAAAGTGATTCATACACCAACTCACCATTACCAATATTTACAGAACAATGCGACATTCTTGCAAGTCAAGTTATGAGTGAACATCACTACCTACTTTACGTAACTTCATACATCATGTAACTACTCTATGTAACTTAGTACATCATGTACCTACTCTATGTAACTTAGTACATCATGTACCTACTCTAGTAGCTTAGTACATCACATACCTACTCTACGTAACTTAGTACATCACGTACCTACTCTAGCAACGTAACTTTGTACATCACGTACCTATTCTACGTAACTTTGTACATCACGTACCTACTCTACGTAACTTTGTACATCATGTACCTACTCTACGTAACTTTGTACATCACGTACCTACTCTACGTAACTTTGTACATTACGTACCTACTCTGCATAACTTAGTACATCATGTTCCTACTCTACGTAACTTAGTAAATCATGTAGACCTACCTACCCTGCGTAACTTGTACATCATGTAACTACTTTATGTAACTTAGTACATAAAGTACCTACTTTATGTAACTTAGTACATCATGTTCTCTCTCTACGCAGCTAAGTACGAAAATTTTTTCACTGACAACATAGAGAAGAACAGAATATGTGGTCTAATAAAGTAATTAATATAGCGCGCGCGAGTTGATGTCTTTTAATACAGTAAGAGTTGCTGTGTAATACCACAGCAGGTGTACTTAGCTGTGTAATAACACAGCAGGAGTAGTTAGCTGTGTAATAACACAGCATGAGTACTTAGCTGCATAATAACCTAGCAGGAGTTGCTGAGTATCAACACAGCAGCTGTCACTCACGTGCGCAAGGCTCTGGGGTCAGCCAGCGATCGCTCCTCGTCCAACTTCTCCTGGGCGTAGCGCTGCACAAGTGCTTCTATGGACATCATCACGTCTATGGACATCATCACGTCTATGGACATCATCGCGTCTATGGACATCATCACGTCTATGGACATCATCACGTCTATAAGCATCATTAAGTCTATGAGAATCATTGTGTCTATTGCGCTCGTCACTATCCTTTCTGCAATTCAGCCCACCGTTGGGATATGAATTATAATGACCAAATTTTAATCTATTTAGCTCCTGCTTTTGCTCGTTAGGAAATGATTGCCGATCCAAAGAACGATCCACATTTTTGTTTTCCAGTTCCTTGCCCAGATTTTTGTCAAATTCTTCCTTCCTCTTGGGCTTTTTAATTCTTTGTTCTTCTTCACTGTCACTTTCAGAGCTTGAGCTTCGTTTACGTTTTTTCTTTTTGTTCTTTTTAGTTTTTTCTTTCTGTTTCTTCTTGTCTTTCTTTTTTTTCTTCTCATTTGATTTCTATAAAAATGAAGATTATTATTTTTGGTTTTTTAATCATCACATTATAGTTACCTAGAATATAAATATTTCACTGCAGTGCCTTCACAGACCTAAATGTTGGCTTGCACAATTATTTGTTAACACTTAGTTTACCTTTTTCTTAGAAGCTTTTTTGTTTTTGCGGCGTTTGGAGACGCTTTCTTGGTCAGTGTCACTAGAATCGCTGGAAGAGGAAGACGTCGCTTCTGTGATGCTCTTGATCTGTGGAAGGCCAAATTAAAGTCACTGTTTGCATTCAAGGGGGAGGTGGGGAAGTAATCTCACAATTGCATTTCAGAAACTTGCTCAAAATTTTCAAAAGCATGTATTCAATTAATGCCACAAAAATAATTATGAATATATGTAGTGAATGTCCCCAAAATTCTTAAAAATTAAAAATTGGTTAATGATTACATGAAAATAACTTAATTAAAATAATGAATTTGGCAACAAATTCTTGGGTTTATTTTAAATAGATCTCAATGTATTAAACCAAAACCATATTCTTATCATATAAAAAAATAAGTAATCCCTTATTTAATTTTTATTAGACAATTACCAAAAGCTGAAGCTGCTTCCGCTTGACAGGATTTTCAGTTATTTCCCTGCGGGTGAGCTCTTCCCGCTTACGGATTGCCAGTAGTGGGTCATCCAGGAGTTTGCGTCGCATGTCAACCTCAACAAAGAAAGATACAATCATTTTCAAAAATTGCAGAGCTATTGTTTTCTTAGCTATTATGCAAGTGCTAAATATAAGTAATTAAATGACTCAAAAACAACAAATTGATATCATACCTGAATTACAGCAGCTCCAGGCTGGTCATCTTCTGGGCGTCGTCTGGCAATGCAGTCTGGCAGAATCTCTGTCATGGAATTGCATGTCAATCACAAACAGCATCAATAAACACATTAGTTTACCTCAGTACTCCAAATGCAGATAAAGCATGGGTTGGTAACTTGGTAAGTTCAAAATAGGATTCTCTAAGATTGTTTTCATATTGACAACATAACCTGTGCACTGTTACCAGTGTATTATTGCAAGTTAACAGCTAAGAAAATATTTTTGCTCTGATTTCATTGAAGAACATTTTGAAGAACTTTGCTGGTGACTAAAAGAAGTAGGAGCTAAAAAAGCAAAGCAAAAGATTTCCTCTCCTTAGCTCATGAATTACACATTTTTCTTAAAATCGGCATCCATATAACTCCTAATAACTGTATATTACTCAGGCTACAATTTGCTATAAAAAATTCAAGTAACAAAAGAAAGCAAACACTAGAGATAAATGCTATGCAATTATTATACAACAAATATTTTTACCATGCAAAATCAACAAGAAATTTGATAAAACATGATTATCACTACCATATTCGATTATGTGGGAAGACTTGGGTGGCTCCTCTGGTTTGTTGCTGTCAGCTTGGTTCAACAAATCCAGACTGGCATCCACCTTGCGGCCCAGCAGGTACTCTTCTCGAGACACATGACCACCTGGGCCCTAAAAACACGCATTATTTAGTCAGACTTCATACTTGATAACCAAAGCAAAGATTTTTTTTAGACAACAACTATGTAATATTTTATTTTTCAGTCAATTTGAACATGGAATTTCCAATATATGTATATTGGAAATTCCAATATACATATATTGGAACATATACATATATTGGACATAATGAAGCAATTAAATTTTAATGATATTTAAAATATTGACATGGGCATGGAGCAGCAAAATTTTGGTGAAATTTAATGTTTATAGTCTTGTCATGAAAATGACCTTTATTCATTTTAACAGACAACAAGAAACAAACTTTGCAAACACAAATTAAAAAATCCAAATATTTCTAGAGAGTTGAGAGTAATGTCATGTGTTTTTGTTTGATTGAAGAAATGGCGGATAGCACTTTGCAAACATGTCTTTTCATAAAATTTTCAACTTTCACAATCCGCAAAACTTCAATGCTCCGGCTAAAATATCCTGCAGAACATAATAACGACAAGTCAACTCAAAAAGTTTCCTTCAGGATCACATAGTTGCGGTCACATCAGAGCGGCCAGACTGCATTAACACATATTCTGTTGCCACTTGAGTGAAGACAAATGTTAGTGTTGCTGGTTTTACTGTTTTTAGGGTAAAATTAGAGATTTGGGGGTAAGACATGAATGGGACTTGGTAAATAAGTTCACGGCTCATAGATGTAGATGGCTTTTCATAGCCAAGATATGGACAGAGGTGGGCAGTAGCGCGCTACCTGTAGCGGCTGATACATTTTCAGTAGCAGTAGCGGTGCTACATTTAAGCAATTGTAGCAGAAGCGGTCGCGCCCACTACATATTTAAGTAGCAATATGAGGTTCTGCCGCTGCAGCGCTACCGCTACATTTATAGATAAAGCCTTTAGATTTTACTTTATAGTATTTTATTATTTAAAAACAAGCATGATACATACTCAATATAAATTACAGAATAAAACTGTATGAAAGATTTTGGTGTAATGTTGTCAACCTCAGCCTGTTACTAGTGTCAACATGGTAGTTGTTGAGGTGGGAAGTAGCGCGCTACATGTAGCGGCCGCTACATCTTCAGTAGTGGTAGCGGCGCTACATTTAAGCAATTGTAGCAGTAGCGCTTGCTTCATTTAGAGCATGTAGCGGTAGCAGCCGCTACATTTCAAAGTAGCTCTGGATATGGAATTCATGGCTCAAAGAAATGGAATCACAGCTGGCAAACCCATAAAACTGTGGCTCAAAAATCCATCGTGGCTTGCAAAGTAGATATATTCCATGCCCGATTGTACACCTGTGCCCTGTACAGTGTACAAGGGCTTGGGGCCTTGCTTACGCCAGGCCAATCCACTGATGCTGAAACTGGCATTTGGCACCATATCCTGCAGTCTTGGGTATGGATTGCATATACAACCCATTCTTTTTCTTATTTTTCACTGAATAAATTAGAAAAAGGCCATAGGAATCAGGTATGCAGAGTTTGCTGGAAACATTGCCAAGATAAGTACTTTTAGCGCAAAATGTTGCCAGCCATTTTCTGCATTGCCAGGTAATTCTTAATAAGAAAATGCTGCAAACAACTTTGATAGTATATCCCTTACTCTCCACGCACTGCAAACTTACACTCATTGCAACTGATTCCCAGACAAGCTTCACTGCATCCAGAATCCTGTTCCATCCAAAGTAGGGTAAACGCGGTATATTCCGACATCGTGGGTAATTCTGTCACCTCTTTACTTTTTCCTTTATATTAAGCTTTGTTTTAGTTCCATGCGTACGTTGATGGTTGAAATGGTGACGTCATACATTTGCATGTCAAACTACTGCCAAAACACTAGGTCTTGGAAATCTAGCGGGGAAATATTGAGATCCAAAGAGAGACGATGCACGCTACCCAGTGAGATCATCAAAAAATGTGTCAAATTTGACAGTTGACCTTGCTCTACCAAATAGTGAATAACTGTTTGTATAGGAAGAATATTATGGTTTGAGACTTTTAAATACATCTGTGAATATATTAGGAATCCTTTAAGTATACTTGTATTTGCTGATTTCAAGTGGTAAATAAATCAATAGATGATTAAGTTGAGAAATGGATTTAGACACATGAAAACTAATTCTGTCACAACTTGAATTGGACACACACAGATCGTTCCAAGCTGTGTACAAAAATTAAAATTTGCTTAATTAAAAGCTTAATAGTTGTTAATTAAAAGCGTAATTAAGTAGTGTTCAATATTCATTAGTGTTCTAATTCAAAGCCGTGTTGTATTCCAATACAGCTCACACAGCGAACGGAATTCGAACACGTGGATGATGACATTACATATCAGTAGAATTTGAAGCGCGGACGGAATATAGGGATTTGGTAGGTTTCCATTCTAAAGGCCTTTAAATAAATATGGCAACATTTTGTGACGTTTCGTTGTTGCTGACACGTAGTGTGGTGTCTTGAGAGTCACATAAAGCAAACAGAACTTGAGTAACGCATACAGTTATTTTTTATAGTTTTTCATTTCTCGATGCGTCCTTAATGTGATGGAATATACCGCATTTAGCTATGGGAAACCTTACTATGTGAGCTTGCGGTCTTTCAGATTTGCAATAATTTCAAAGTAATTTCTAAAATACAATAATTTCAATCCAAATGTGTTGGCAAGATATTCTGAAGGCATAAATTTTGCTGCAGATGCATTGCCAAAGATCTTTTGATATTGACCCACTTTTAGCACCCAGGCTTTTTACTAGATATTATTGAAAATTTTTGCCCTATTCAATATTCCTGAATCCTGATTGCTGAGTAATATGTAAAAATTTTCCAATCTTACCTTGCTTGGCTCATCGGAAAATTTATAAATAAGTAGCATATAGATCAATCCTAAAACTACATAGAAGTAAACTAAATGCTCTACTACCTAGAAAATTCTATAATTTTAAAGCAGCATAGCTATTTTATCATTATAAGTAAGCCATACCCAGGATGGTGCCGTTTTCCGCGGATTAATCTGACGTAAACGAGGCTCCAAGCCTTCTACTGGCGTACAATGCGGCGTACAAAGAGCTAAAATGACGTTATTGGCGCACACGCCCGGCGTACGTCCGCATCTGGCTTGTCTCGACGTAATGTGTTGTATAGTGATATGTTGTGATGGGTGCAGTGCTGTTGTGCAGTGATATTTTGTGTTGCAATGTGTTGTGTTGTTAATACCATATTGTTAGCGTTACCATATTTTGTGTTATTTGCTTGTGACGATCATTAAGCATCGGCCACTTTGATCGCAGAGAGCGCTCATCAGTGTTGATCATTGGGCATCGGCTAAAACGATCGTAAATCGCGTGCGCTTGTGTCAATCATTAGGCCAGGCTGGAATTCTAAGAATGGAAATTCACTTATTAAAAAGCTTTCCACCCAAGCTGAAAAGCTTTCCCATTCCCACAGTGGCAGTGCTCTTCCAGCCTTCCAGGTGAATGACTAAAGTGACTATAAATGAAAAGGTGGATCAAAAGTGGACTGTGGACAAAATGTTTCAATATTATACAAGTACATTAAATTTGTAAAATAATTATTTAGATGTCACTTATTTGATAGATATTTTTTATTTGTCTTTTTTTTAATGAATTTTTTAAATTTTCCAGGCCTTTTGTTTGTAATGATCAAGTTTCAGTCAAGTATTTAGTTAACTCACAGACTGAGGCAGCTCATTGGTGTTTTGTTCTTTCGTTTTTCTTCCGTTCTGCTTTTGCGGAAAACGTCGCCTCACAGAAAGCATCGTTGGCACTGCATAGCCGAAGCTTCTGGAAGGTTGACTGCGTCGCCGAAGCTTCGGGAAGATTGGTAAATGGCGTTGGCAAGATCTTCAAAGAAGTAAATTTGTCTGCTAATTCGTCTCCGAATATCTTTCAAATCTTTATCACTCTCTGCATAGTGGTGACAGCTTTGCCACTATGATCAATCGTAAAGTAGTGGTGCCTGTGTCGATCATGCAGCTTTGCCGAGGGGTTAGGTACACTTCCGTTTGGCGTTTTTAGCAAGCATATTGGCAACTTTCTTCCCTGGCGTACTTCCGAAAAGTTATTATGCAAAGTTATTATTTTTGATCTGGCACTTTTTATCCTGGAAGTGGAAGACAAAGATTAGAAATAAATAATAAGTTTGGACTTTGGACTCAGGGTGGCCTAATTTTATGAAAAATTACCTTGTACATCCAGTTCATAGAAACATTTTCATTCTCTTTTTTATCCTTTGACATAATTGCTATATTGAATGTCACCAGTTATTCGGCAGTTAATATCGTTTATCAGAGTATAATAATAATCAGACTGTAGGAGTAGACCGTAAAAAGAAGGCCGAAGAAAGGGTCGAAGACTTGAAGTTCAACCAAAACCCATAGCTAGCCTAGCCTTAGTAGCCTATGTCTGCCCTATGATGGTGATGCCTATCCTGCAAGCCTTCAGCAGCATAATGGAATGTTTACAACTTTACCGATCTTGCTCCTAAACCACGGAATCGTGCATATGCGAAGTCGACGTTGCATTTCTAAACGGTTAGTATAGTATAGTATCTTTGGCATTAAAGAATAGGCCTGTCGCCGATTCTTGTACTTTTCTTGACAAGACTGGCCTTTTGATCAGATCTTTTCAACGGACGGTAGATTAAAAATCGCTCCTAGATAACAACTGATATCCAGAAACCGAACCGACACTTCAGCGAACTCGCCTGCGAACTCGATTGCGAACTCGAATGCAAAACCTAACTTCATTTTCAACTCAGGCACTCATAAATCCGTCAATTATGAACGGATTTTATTCAAATTTCAAATATAAGTAGATAATATCAGTAATTTGTGGACGGAATTTTTTCAAATTTTTACATTTATTACTTTTTTATTATCACGGAAAACCTAACTTCACGTTAACCCGCAGGTTAGGTCCTAGTCAGGTCAAGTTTCAGTATTTTGTGGCATTAACAAAAAGTAATTGACGTAAAAATCTGAAATAAATCCGTCCACAAATTACTGACATTATCTACTTATATTTCAAAGTTGAATAAAATCCGTTCATTATTGACGGATTTATGAGTGCCTGAGTTTAAAATGAAGTTAGGTTTTCCGTATTAACAAAAAAGTTATTGAAGTAAAAATTTGAATAAATTCCGTCCACAAATTACTGATATTTTCTACTTATATTTCAAATTTGAATAAAATCCGTTCATTATTAACGGATTTATGAGTGCCTGAGTTGAAAATAAAGTTAGGTTTTCCGTATTAACAAAAAAGTTATTGAAGCAAAAATTTGAAAAAATTCCGTCCACAAATTACTGATATTATCTACTTATATTTCAAATTTGAATAAAATCCGTTCATTATTAACGGATTTATGAGTGCCTGAGTTGAAAATGAAGTTAGGTTTTCCGTATTAGCAAAAAAGTTATTGAAGCAAAAATATGAAAAAATTCCGTCCACAAATTACTGATATTATCTACTTATATTTAAAATTTGAATAAAATCCGTTCATTGTTGACGGATTTATTAGTGCCTGAATTGAAAATGAAGTTAGGTTTTGCATTCGAGTTCGCAGGCCAGTTCGCACGCGCGTTCGCTGAAGTGTCGGACCGGTGCGCTTCAGCTGCTAAGCTATCTCGAGCCGAATGTCACGTTGGGCATTATGGGCTAAGAACATATTGCATCACATGTATTCAGCGTTGACCAGATCATATACAGTCGAACATGTTTATTGCTCTCAGGTACTCTACGAGGCGGTCAACATTATAGCTCTGCCACTCGTCCAGCAGCTTCCTGCGGAAGATGGGGTAATGATCCCGGTGGGGGACTTCATCATTCCAGGGTGGTGTCTCTTCAGCCGCTGCGCGGCGTGAAAGTTCATCCGCGGCCTCGTTGCCCGTTATCTTCACATGACCGGGGACCCAGCAGAATGTAATTGTCTTTTGGCGCGTGTGGAGTCGGATAAGCCATCTATGTATGGTGGCTATCAGGGGATGCGGTGAGTTGTAACATAAAATCGCCTGAATTGCACTCAGGGAGTCGCTGAATATGCAGATCTCCATGTTTGTGCTCTCCCTTGCAATTGCGATGGCACACAGGATGCTTTCAGCACCTTGAATCCTGAACTTAGATATCATTGCGGCGAAAATAAACCCAACCTGTTTCTCAGCAGAATTGGAATCCCTTAAGATTGGAGTTGGATTCAATCAACATTAATGGAAAATCTCAAGAGATGAGTACGAATCAAAATGATGCGATTTGAGGCCACAACAGTTGCATGCATCCAACAAACATTATTAATAATATAATTTTCTTCAAGCCTCACCAAGAGACGGAACTTGAAAAATATTCCGAGGCTTATTATACTACTTGTCTCATCACTGTAATTATGTTAGGTTGAATTCTGTCGCCTATTTGATTTACCAATACTTCTAATATAAGGTATGTAAAGACCTATTCTAAATTTGTATTGCTTTATTGAACGACAATATTAGCTTAAATTAAAGTACAAAATTTCATTCCGATTATACGTTGGTGGTTTGAAGAACTACAAAACTTGGTGCACCGAATACTTTTGCTGCACACAGTTCGTAGGACACGAATCACGCAAACTGAAGGAAATGAGATGTTTTTTGGGCATATATATCATATTTATGGTCACATATATAATATGAATGGTGGTTGACAACCACCATTGCTGCAGCACACGAACTGCGTCCTAGAGGAAACTTAATTTTCCGACAAACGCCTTGGTGTGAGAAGCAACGACTCAAACCTGCCTAGATGCTGGTAGATGGTACATACTTACTAAGGTTGAACCATACTATATACTAGTTCAACCATGCATACTTAGTATCCAGTATATGGAATGTTTGTCTCTACTGGAATGCAGCGACTTAAATCACAGTCGCATTTACCATGCTGCTGTAAATGTTTAAGTGACGATTACCGATCTAAATTAAGTGGTTATTTGAATGATCTTCATTTGATTGGAACCTAATTGCAATAAAAAGAAGGGACACAAACAGTTAAACATGACTAGTAAACAGACATGAAGTTAAATGGCATTCCGCTGTAAAATAATGTAAATCAAAAATTAAAGATGGGAATAAAAAATGATGGTACGATAGTGAACAGCCGGACAGAAACATAATATGAACAGTTCGATTCGTAAGAAAATAGGCAATCACGAGCATAAACGCCAAATTGTTAGGACTCCAGATCCCTCATCCAATGAAAAAATTACGTTATGTTTTGCAGGATAACTGCACCGCCCCTATTCTTCCCACTAAAATGTATAATTTCCTGCCTAACGCAGACTTTCGACGCTCAATTACTTAATTACACAAACTTATGGAGGAAGAAATGATTGAACTTCTCCAGAGGGCATCACCTGCTGTGGGTGCCCACGTCTCTACCCAAGGGGAGCCTCACCAGGTGTAAGGTGTGGGGGAAGGAGGGGCTGCGCCTCACGGGGAGCAGGTGACAAGAGAGGCGCACGTTGGGCTTCAGGAAATGAGGACACGCCTCAACCTGGTGAATGATAAAGACAATTTGAAGATGAATAATGCAGTTGAAATGAATGATGTATGCGTGGACATGCACAACGCCCCTGAGACGTTTTCTTCGTCAGGGGCGGGCTATATAAGGGCTGAGCTCGTCAGTTAATCATGTATAAAAGCAGCTTCATCATGGTTTTAAATGATAATTTACGAAAAATTTTTCCATATTAATGTTGTAGAGAAGTTCAGTTAGTGTAGCGTAACGAAAATCAGTTCAGCGCCGGCAGCCAACGCGCGCAGTGCGGTCCTGCAGCCTCGGTACCACGCTGGTCTTGATGGCATTTGGGAGCGACTCGTGGACTTCATCATCTCACATAAACTACGTGGTCATATACTATTAAAAATATATAGCACTTTAAATGATATGAGTATATGCATGAAGTGACTAAGAATGTGAGGTTATATTACATTATATGCAGAATATGAGGTTATAAGATAATGCAGCTATGGTGGCAGGACGATAGTGTACTCACCTGGCATGCATTACGGAGGAGGCGCGATGTGGGGTTGTACCTGCGGGATAAACAGGAGTGATAACCATGGAAATAATTAGGGTTAAACGGATTATGTTCATAGAACAGAATTTAAACATAAACAAGCTGTGAGTGTTCTGCGATGTTAAGAATCGGCGACAGCCTATGGCCTAATAAACGCTGAAACCGCTATTACTTTTATTATTATAAAAGGGGAAAGCCAGGAGATAAATGTGAGTAATAAGTTGAACAGAAAATACATGGAGACTTCAGCAAACACGAGTACATGAGAGCAATAACAAAATGATGATAGACAGTGGTAAGTGAGCGTGAACGGTAAATAAAGCTAAACAGCTATAATTTAGGTTCATAACCCTGGAAATAATTAGAGTTAAACGGATTATGTTCATAGAACTGAATACAAACATATACAAATAAAAATTCTAGAGAAGGATGCGGCAATGCCGATAGCAGCTGCCAAGTCATCTTTTTAAGCGGCATATAAGATGCTGTCGTGGCTTCTGTTGTCCCCCGTAATTGGGCTGAGTCATCATGTCGTGTCCCAGTCTGAGCAGCCCGTGACGAATAAGAGAGTAAACAATCAGCCTGCCGTGTGGGGCCAGTCATGTACGTGACCTAAGCCACCCCAGGCGCCACGAACTGTGATATGCGAATGACTGGAACTAGTTTAGTTAGGCCTGAATATTTCTGACTGCTTAATTACATGTGGAGGTGACACAATTACACGCAAGAACATGAATAACAGTGAACATGAACAACAGTGAACATGAATAACAGTGAACATGAATAACAGTGAACATGAATAACAGAGAGCATGAATAAGACTGAACATCAAAGTATCAAAGAGCTGGCGACGTCTTCAGCGCCAGGATCCGACGGAATTCCGGCAGTGCTGTTGAAGAAGTGTGTTGGAGCACTGAAGGCTCCGCTCACAATGCTCTGGAAAGCCTCGATAACAGAGGGAATTATCCCTGAGGGGCTCAAAGTGGGACTGATAACGCCAATCCACAAAGGAGGTCCGAAGGACAGACCCCAAAATTACAGACCTGTGACCTTGACCTCACATGTGATCAAGGTTTTTGAGAAGGTAGTGGCCACGAGGCTTGTCCAGTACATGGAAGAGGCTGACCTGTATAATACTGGACAACATGGTTTCCGGAGTAATCGTTCCTGTTTTTCGCAGTTACTGGAGCACCATCACCGTCTAGTGGCCCAGTTAGAAAAGGGAGCTAGCGTGGACGTGGTATACCTAGACTTAGCTAAAACTTTCGACAAAGTTGACCATGGGGTGCTCTTTAGAAAGCTGTTGGGGTAGGAGGATGTCTGTGGAGGTGGATCCACAACTTCCTTATAAAGTACAAGCTGTCGCTATTGGAAACTCAAGGTCGAGAGAAGCAAGAGTGAAATGCCGAGTGCCACAGGGCTCGGTGTTGGACCGATCCTCTTCCTCATTCACATTGCCCACATCGACTCGGAACTCACTTACGCATCTACATCGTCATTTGCAGATGATACCAGAGTGCTGATGAGGATTATAGATAACCTAGACAGCGAGAGGTTACATGATGACTTGTCGACAATCGACGATTGGGCCCTAGTGAATAATATGCACTAGGGCCCAATCGCGATGGGGCATCAGGATGCCCCATCGCTACTTGGTATCAGGAATTGAGGCACAGAAATTGAGAAGACACTCGGAGATATCAGAGTGTTGATGAGTACCTAAGCCACGTTTGATGCCCACATCTAAGAAATATTTACGCGAAGCAGACAACAAATGGGATGGATCTGGCGGACATTTTGAACGAGACAAGCAGCACCAATGATTACAATCCTTAAACCCCTCGTGCTCCTCAATCTTGAGTATTGCTGCCAGCGTTGGGCGCCGCTCAAGACTGGTGCGGTACGGAAACTGTAATCAGTCCAGCGGACCTTCAAGTCCCGGGTGAGCGCTATGAGAGAGCTGGAGCTGAACTGCTTGGAAAGGCTGAAACACCTGGAACTGTACTCACTGGAGAGTGGAGAGGAGAAGAGAAAGGTATATCATACTGTACACTTGGAAAATGATAACCGGTCTGGCTCCCAACTTTGAGAGTGAAACCTCCAAAATAGCGATATGTTACAACGAAAGGAGAAGTACAGACTCTTCGTGAGGGATCACTGTCCGTGGTAGGACCGAGGCTCTGTAATGCCTTGCCAAAAGGGCTGAGAGGAGGGGAGTTCACCTTTGCAAGTTTCAAGAGACGACTGGACAAGTGGTTGAGAAAGATCCCGGATTGTCCAGTAATGGGAAACTACCCTCGGCAAGTGACAAGCAACAGCATCTTGCATCAGCGTGCCCAAAGGAGGGCAAATAGACGGAACACGTCCAACGTGATATCCGGGACCCGAGGGCGGGGTGACCTGCCTAGCGACGACTCGGAGACGGAGGACGACAAAGGCGGCGCATCAGCGTGACCTTGGACTAAGAAAACCTAAACTCATTATAAGATAATAAGGTCATAAAGACTGAACACGAATATCAGTGAACATGAACTGCCTCCAGCACTACGGTGCATAATTTAACAGCATATAACAGCATAATTGTTATTTCATGTTCACTGATAACAGTGAACATGAAAACAGTGGACATGAAAAACAGTGAACATGAATACCAGTAAACATGACAGTGAAGATGAATAACAGTGAACATGAACAACAGTGGACATGAACAACAGTGAACATGAATAACAGTGAACATGAACAACAATGAACATGAATAACAGTGAACATGAACAGTGAACACGAACAACAGTGAACACGAATAACAGTGAACATGAATTACAGTGAACATGAACAACAGTGAACATGAATAACAGTGAACATGAACAACAGTGAACATGAATAACAGTGAACANATTTTTCAGACTACAAACACAATCAGCAGTGTTGATCTAAAATATATGAAAGAAATTTAAGTCCAAGTAAGGAAAAAATTTCACGAGCATTAGAACTGTACGCCTTCACAAGGCGAGATCCGTTTATAAACGATAGCGAAAATAGCAACAGACTGATGATATTAAAACCTTCATGTATATTGTAGTTGGCAAGCAGTTGTATGTATGTATAAGCAGTTGGCTTGAGCCTGTCTCTTATACACATCTAGATGTGTATAAGAGACAGGCATAAAATAATACGACAATAACGCATAAAATAATACGACAATAACGAGGTTAAGAGGCCGAGGTACCGCCGTCACGCCGCGTCCAAGTCCAGCGTTGCCAGCACGCGCTATCCACAGGAGTGACTGAGCTCAGCTATACAATTACAAAATAACGAGAACAACTCTCAAATGTATACTGAAAACGCTAATAAATATCAAACAATACAATAGTAATTTATACAATGACTGAGCTAAGACCTTCGATAAAACAATAACAACCGCAAAACGCTAGATAATTCAGGCAATGTGATAATAATTTATAGAATAGTATGGCTGAACTATCCAATACAGGAGAAAAATCATTCCATCAACATTGATTGAAAATATCATTCAACAGAAGAGCAACTACATTACTAACGCTATAAAGGCATTGTCAAACATAACAAACGTAAGCACAATAATGAGACTATACCGAAGTCCTCGACCACTCGCATAATGATACTTTATAATAATAGAATGTATAATTCAATTTTGCAACAGTATAGAAGGAATACTAACATCGGTGACCGAAGCCAGGAAGCTCAGCCGCTTTTCGTCGGTGAGATGCGGCGCGAAGAAGTCCATGTGTGGGGAACTGGACGTGTATGAAGCCAGGCACCTGCCCACGAACTCCAGCAGAAGAAGCTTGAACAAGTCGATGTTTAGCCCTGGCATTTTATCTCTGGTCAAGTAAATGAGGAAAAGTGGCTTAACAAGCGACTCGCAGGTGACAACATCACCCTGATGTTCTCCCTTCGTCATGAGGGCAACGGCAGGCGCAGTGGTTAGGACCGAGAGGTATTTGACGATGTCAGGTTCATCCAAGTAGATCCTGGCGGTGGCCTCAATGTCAGCGAGACGTTTAGTGATGAAGTGGTCTCTGGTGGACTGGTCAGGGTGGTCGGTGATGGTCTTGAACCAAACGACCCCCAATGCGGCCAAGTGACATGAATGGTCGATAATCGACGAGTTCCGGAGGATGCAGTGAGTGACACCCACGCTGAACACGTTGCTTCTTACCAGCCTCTGTAGGAGCTGACAATGTTGCGCTGGGATGACAGGCACTACTGCGTTGCATGCAGAGTTTGGGTTATCCTGCAGCAGGTTCAGTTCGAAGTCGTCAGAAGTATCCATTGGAATGTCGAGGGTGGGTTGCAAAGCCCGTTGCGCGAGCACTTCATAAGGGTTCCCACAAATGTTCTTGATGTTCAGAGTCCAGGGGCTGTTGTCACGAGAGTAACCATGAGAAGCGAAAACTGGGACCCCAGTGAAAGACATGGTCTTAAGAAAATCCGTCTTGTTTTCTTTCAGAAGTTCCAGGAAGTCTGGGTCTTTGAGGTCACCGACGAACGAGCACATCAGTATCCTGCAACAGTCTTCGGGGTCTGGTTGAGGCAAAGCCTTTACTTGACTCTCAATCGAAAGATAGAGATCCTTGAAGGTCTGAATGTCCCTGGACCACTCAGCGTCTCCGTGGTTTCTGGTTTCGAGTTCCTTAGATTCGTGGGGGCGGTTTTGCACGGTGGACTTGAGGATGGCTTCGGCAAGCTGAATCTCGTTCTGGAAGCGGGAATCGCCAGAAATGATCCCGTACGTCGAACTTAGCATAGAGGAGAATTCCAGTTTCAAGCCCCTTTCTGACTTCCGATCAAGACGGAACCTCAAACTTGAGTTCATGGGCTCAAGTTGGTTCAGCTGCAACTCGAAGATGTGACGCATCAAGTCGAAGACGCCCATCGGGATCTCGTCTCGGTTGCTGTGGCGCTGGACGAGAACAGCATTCCATTGCTTGAACAAGTTACTCACCAAGAAGTTAGCGGAGGCCATTTGGATGAGACCCTGAATGGGCATTCTGGCACCATCACCTGCTGTTATTACAAGCGACCTCATTATTTCTGCAGGGTCTCTCTCGTAGTAAAGGAACTCACCATTATATGCCTCACTTTTTGTATCCTGAACCAGAGGCAGGACTTTACCAGGAACAGAAACGTGCACTCTCGACATCCCTTTCAACATTTCCTCGCGGATGTGCCCCATTTCGCGTTGCACCTCATGATTTTGTCGGGCCCAAAACAAAGTAGGGCATCCAGCCGAGCCGTTGTGCAGCCTGGAGCGGATGTCCTTGCTGTACTGGACAGGAAAAGAATCGCCCACGCCCAAGAGGTAAACCTCGACTGTTTTGCAATACGGTACGCGCATTTGGGAGATTGCATATGCAGGATCCCCGCGAGCACCAGACTGATGCCCATCGGTTACTAGGAAAACTCTTACGTTAGTTTCCCTACATTGCTGCACACAATTATTTATGGTTGTTATTGCAGAAGCTAAATCGGTACTAGAGTTATCGAAGTCGTCTTGTGTCAGTTGTGTTCCGTTTCTGCGGAATTTGACAGCGGCACTGAATGTGTAGATGTGAACAGTTCCTGTGAAAGATAGATATAATTCTCTGAGAAGAAGAAACTTTTAGACTGGCAATATAAAACATACGAAAATACTACCAAAATTGTAGAACTGATTGTACTCTTATTCTAGAATTTTCCAACTGAAGATGGAGCTGCATAACAAACACTTTCTTTTAAGATTTAGTGAATATTTGTGGTGCATTTTTTTCTTGTAAATTCCTATTTATTGTGCGATTCAGGCAATGCATTGACAATGATATTTGCAATTTAACTCATCTTACATCTAACAAAAAATAATCCAATTTCTTGCCGATATCATGCAAGGTTGAATTGAGCTCATTTATTTCAGCATAATAAGAATTTAAAAGAAAAAAACACCAAGTAAATTCAGCATATCTTCATTGAAAACGTTTTAGAGACCAGTTCCGCCATCAGATCAACAAATTTTTCAGACTACAAACACAATCAGCAGTGTTGATCTAAAATATATGAAAGAAATTTAAGTCCAAGTAAGGAAAAAATTTCACGAGCATTAGAACTGTACGCCTTCACAAGGCGAGATCCGTTTATAAACGATAGCGAAAATAGCAACAGACTGATGATATTAAAACCTTCATGTATATTGTAGTTGGCAAGCAGTTGTATGTATGTATAAGCAGTTGGCTTGAGCCTTCTTACCGATCAGAAGTAGATTCAAACAAAATTGAACTCACCATTGACGTGACGCGACACTTCGGTGTTCCAGTGAGTCATGACATAAGGCCAAACATCTCGCATGGAGCCTGAGACATCAAACATGGCGATGTTGTAGTACGGCGTAGTGTTGCCAGAGGGAGCCCCCGCCATGCCAGAGGGAATACTGAGGACGCAGTGGCTTCGTCTTCGCCTGTAGCCTTCGTCTGCCACGTCCAGACGGTACAGCACCGGGCTGACCATCTGCAGGGACCGGACATGTTGATTTGCAGATTGCCGCTCACTTATTTCATAAGTAAGAACAACGTACTTACGATTCTTTACCAAAAGACATTTCTTTAATTCTTCTCAGGTCAGGAACCGGAAAGAATTTCCCAACTGTTCATTATTAAATATACGTATAATACAATGCCTATATATAAGTTAAGCCTGTTTAGGAGCTCAAGTAATTTGCCTTCACCATGGATTGTTACTGACTGCTGAGTAGTTTCTAATAATAGACACCACAGAACATATCACTTCAGTGGTGTCAGGTCAGCTGGTCACAGTCCACAGACGCCCCCGAACCGAAGAGCCAACATTTAATACGGGTAGTAATAGCGTAATACGGATAGGTGAGTTGAAACTTGTAATTAAAATCTCGGGTTGCGGAAAACTGGCCGCTTACCTAAATACCATCTTATTGACATTTGACACCTCCTTCCCACACCATTACATCATAGAAGATAGGACTACACTCTACAGAGACCAAATTAAAATTTTGCTATAAAATCATCCCAAGTATCTATGCCTGCCTGTGCCTGCCAGGCTGCCGCTTGGAAGATACTTTGCGATACAAATGGGTTTACCCTCGCATCTTTCTCTGAGAAGAGAATTTATTGGTGACAGAAAATGAATTTCTCTAAGATGGACTCAAGCCAGTCTAAGAGGATATACCTAAAGAAAGTTTCATTATTCAAAACGAAATATTATAAGAGCTGACGCGCATTCGTAGTAAAATTTGTGAGAAATCATTCCACTACTTAATCCTGTAGTTTATTAATTGCAATCCTTGTAGCAAAATTGGCCTAAATTTGAAATATTGTCGAGCGTTCGAGTTCGAGCTGTAAGTGACAGAGAGACTGTCAGACAGTCAGAGGAGTTTGATTATAGTCATTAGACTGAACTTACGTGGGACATACAGGAGCTGTCTCATAATTTAACGGCAGTATAAAACTAATTTATATGAATTCAATTTGTTGCCAATCCAGCATTCCATCTTACCTTGATGCTAGTTGTAGAAGTTGTGGGTCAGCTTCTTATCTTCAGCTGCTGCTTGAAAGCTGATCGTAACAAGTCTTGAATTGTACTAATTATTGAGCCCAAACCGATTAATTTTGCCTTTTCATAGCCTTAAGTATTATAGTTTGAGCTATTCTCGTCACTTCTACAGGTAACAAATATAGAGTTTACTTTTTGTTTCGAAAATGTGATGAATTTTCAGCAATGTTTGAGCACAGCAAAAGCATGTTAGCCACTTAACCTCTCTCTAACGAACACTGTGATTCGACAGACCGTGAGACCGACACGAGGCGCGGCGTCAGTGCGCAAAGAAATACCTCGTACGAACGCGATTGTAACGCGTTTCTTGTAACGACAAACACGGCTGAAAATATATATTTATGTATTGGAACACATGCGCACTCTGCGATCATCGTAACATGGTTGGCAGTTTTTTACTTCCTGGATTTTACACTGTAAAATTTTAGTGTCGTAAAAAATAAACAGTAACATTTTACATTAACTGCGTACGGTAAAATTTTCCATTAACTGCTTGCCATTGATCATTGTAAGCTGAACAATGGAATCAATCTGACACTAGAGTTTTAGGTTGCGTTCAGGCTGGCATCTCGCATGATGATAAATAGTACTGAAGCATATGTATTAGAAGGATTAATATACCATGCGATATAGTATTGTACCATCCCAGATAGTACTGTACCATGCCAGATAGTGGTGTACCATGCCAGATAGTACTGTACCATGCCATATACTGATAGTAGTTACCATGCCAGATAGTACTGTACCATGCATGCCATTACTGATAGTAGTGTACCATGCCAGATAGTACTGTACCATGCCAGATAGTAGTGTACCATGCCAGATAGTACTGTACCATGCCATATAGTACTTTACCATGCCATACAGTACTTTACCATGCCATATAGTACTTTACCATGCCACTGCCAGATAATAGTGTCACATGTCAGATAGTGATGTACCATGTCAGATAGTACTGTACCATGCCAGATAGTACTTTACCATGCCACTGCCAGATAATAGTGTCACATGTCAGATAGTGATGTACCATGTCAGATAGTACTGTACCATGCCAGATAGTGGTGTACCATGCCAGATAGTACTGTACCATGCCATATACTGATAGTAGTTACCATGCCAGATAGTACTGTACCATGCATGCCATTACTGATAGTAGTGTACCATGCCAGATAGTAGTGTTAGTGTACCATGGCAGATAGTACTGTACCATGCCACTGCCAGATAATAGTGTCACATGTCAGATAGTAATGTACCATGTCAGATAGTAGTGTACCATGCCAGATAGTATTGTACAATGCCAGATAGTACTGTACCATGCCATATAGTACTTTACCATGCCAGAGAGTACTGTACCATGCCACTGCCAGATAATAGTGTCACATGTCAGATAGTAGTGTATAGTGTACCATGCCAGATAGTATTGTGCAATGCCATATAGTACTGTACCATGTCACTGCCAGATAATAGTGTCACATGCCAGATAGTACTGTACCATGCCAGATAGTAGTGTAGGTACCATGCCAGATATTATAATAATAAGTGTGCATGCAGTGCATCATGCCAGATAGTGTACCATGTCAGATAGCAGAGAAACGTTCATATAATACTACATCATTCTAAATGGTAACATACCACACCAGATAGTAGAGTTCTATGCCACAGATAACGTTTTTTCATTAGATGTAGTCTTCCGTTGGATGGATGGATGGAGGGCTCCATCCATGAGGGGGCCAACTTTGTGCCGTGACTGTAGATGGTCTTCCTATGGCTGTAATTGAGAAGAAGATAAAACAATTTAATAACGGTTTAAATTGAGGATACGAAATTTATGTTATTGAAATAATTTACCCTAATTTTTTTTGCGTTCATGTACGTTCGATGTGGCAACATTTGTGCCATATGCACGTCACAACCACAATTGAACTCCCAGCTGGGAAACACTGTAGCAAATTAGCTTACAAAATGAGTAATGTTGTCCTAGTAACTGGTATATGGATTGTCTGGCAGAAACTAGGTGAGCAGATGCAAAACTAATCGGTTGTTACACGCGTTTCCAGGCACAATTACTCGTTACAGACTCGTTCGAACAGCGTTATTTGCATCGTTTGTATTCCACTGCACTTCCGGCGCACCGGCAGTTGATCCGAAGCAGCAAGTAAGCAAGGTTAGTGTCTGTTTTTCAATGCTGAATGTCTGAAACATTAGAAAAGCGTGTAAACTGTTATATTTATAAGAGATATATAGCAAGAACGCCTACCATACTTGCTTGATTGAGTGACGTTGGACTTCGTTAAATAGAAGTTATAAGAATTGGTAGGAAACGAGGCCGATCAATAATCCATTGAACAACATAGCCCAGCGGTAGAACCTAACTTGTGAAACGTGACTTGCAGGCGAGAAGGCCGCGCTTTCTTATCGCTTTGCCGATTGCGCGAATGCCAGTCTTTCTTATCGCTCTCTCAATTGCTTTGATTTTACTTCGATAATGAAATGAGCAACATTGACACACCCTTTCTAAAAATGCTGATGAATATTCAAAATTTGTTATTTAATATTAAAAATTAATAATGAGAAACCCAAAAGCGGACAAGGAATTGACCTCAGGCACCTCAGTAATGACTTGATTTCTCGTAGCGAGATTTTAAATGATGTGCTCTATCACAAACCGACAGTTCCTTCTTGATTTGCACTTATTTTTAATAATTCCCCACAAAGAAAATATTGTTGCGAAGTCGACCGATGCACGACCACACAGCCGTGATGCTTGCCGGCTAGATAGAATTGATGCCTTAGTAATGAAGGCGTTGAAATTTAATTATAAGTGAAAGAATTTTATACTGATTGGGTTTCGCATTAACTTTGGTTTAATATAAGAATTTTTTTTATGATGTGTTGACATTTATATGAGGCAAGTGTCTTACTCGCCATCTCACGGGCCACGGCCGTGGGGACTGGGGATTAAGTGATGGTGTGCTGGTGTGAGTTGTGTCTCACGATCGTTGTCAGAAATTATAATGAATTTCCTTGTTACTCCCACAACTATATCGAAACTTTTTTTAACAATCACACGACATGTTAACGAAAAGTCGAAAACCTGTCACTCGGCACTTATTCCCATAGAGTTCAATAGAGTTCATCTCTCAGATGGCCAGCCCGGTGCTGTACCGCCTGGACGTGGCAGACGAAGGCTACAGGCGACGACGAAGCCACTGCGTCCTCAGTGTCCCTTCTGTCATGGCGGGGGCTCCCTCTGGCAACACTTCGCCGTACTACAACATCGCCATGTTTGATGTCTCGGGCTCTATGGAAGATGTTTGGCCTCGGGTCGTGAATCACTGGAACGCGGAAGTGTCGTCTCACATTAACGGTGAGTTTAATAATGCTCATAACAATACCCTTTATTCAGGCTTCGTGCACACGTCAAGAATAAACTTTAATTATAATTGAGCGAGCTGATTTAACATATACTCTGCGTGAATCTTAACAATACACATTATGCGAGCGTCGTTTACAATCCCCATCATCACCCCATGCATGTCAAAACAAAAGCCAAGTTATACAACCGTTTTTTGGGAGATGAGTTATACATGACTAAGTTACATGAGTGAGTCAAGTTGGGGGATGAGTTCACGTTAATTCTATGTGTGTATTCAGAGGATCACAGGGCTCAAAAGCTTAGTGTTGGACGGTGTTAAGTTGCCAACAGGCAATAGGACCTTATGTGAAATTATGGGAAAATACGGCGAAATTCAATAGTTCTTTTTGATATAAGCTAGAAAACAAATTAAAATGCAAACTGGAGAGTGTTTAGAAGAAATGGCAAAAGTAAGTCTTTGTTCTTTTTGTTTAGGCCGGCCTGAAATGTTAGATCATATTAATTGAAGCCAATATTCGTGAATGTTTGACATATTGCGATTACTGTGTTCCTCTTCGTCATGAATCATCTTCCTTTATTGGTAGGTCTCTGGCCAATTTGATGACATTGCATCGACGCGCTATCCGATTATGTCAAGCTACGGTATTGCCTCATTATATGAAAGATGCTCCAGTTAGGGGGTGACCTCTTGTCCATAAATAGATTTTAATAATACATTCTGAAGATTTTTTCTTAAAAATCTCAATTTTCTCTCCCCTGCAGGTTCTACGGACATTTATACATTTGGAAAAGATGTCACTTTCAGACGAAGGGGAACATATATCAATTCAGGAGACTTCGATGGCAGCTCCACCAACTTGACAGACGCCTTGCTTACCATCACCCAAAAAGTCAACCAATGCACTGAACGCCACGTCCGCGTATTTCTGCTAACCGATGGTGATGGCAATTGCCGCCGTTCTGCCGAGGAAGTCATCTACAACATGCGAATTCCGCGAGGTAAAGCCATCGAGGTTTACCTCTTGGGGGTCGGTCGAGATTTCCCTGTCCAGTACAGCAAGGACATACGCTCCAGGCTGCATAACGGCTCGGCTGGATGCCCAACGCTCTTCTGGGCTCAAGATGATTCCGAAGTGCAAAATGAAATGAGGAAAATCCGAGTTGAAATGTTGAAAGGAATGAATAGGGTGCATGTGTCAGTTCCTGGTAAGATTCTGCCTCAGATTCAGCAGACTCAGCAAGTCGGTCATTACGGCGAGTTCCTCTACTACGAGAGAGACCCTGCAGAGATCATGAGTTCCCTTGTAATAACAGCAGGTGATGGTACTAGTATGCCCATTCAGGGTCCCATCCAAGTGGCATCCGCTAACTTCTTGGTGAGTAACTTGTTCAAGCAATGGAATGCTGTTCTCGTCCAGCGCCACAGCAACCGAGACGAGGTCCCGATGGGCGTCTTCGACTTGATGCGTCACATCTTCGAGTTGCAGCTGAACCAACTTGAGCCCATGAACTCAAGTTTGAGGTTCCGTCTTGACCGTAAGTCAGAAAGGGGCTTGAAACTGGAATTCTCCTCTATGCTAAGTTCTACGTATGGGATCATTTCTGGCGATTCCCGCTTCCAGAACGAGATTCAGCTTGCCGAAGCCATCCTCAAGTCCACCGTGCAAAACCGCCCCCATGAATCCAAAGAACTCGAAACCAGAAACCACGGAGACGCTGAGTGGTCCAGGGACATTCAGACCTTCAAGGATCTCTATCCTACACGTCCAGTTCTCCACACATGGACTTCTTCGCGCCGCATCTCACCGACGAAAAGCGGCTGAGCTTCCTGGCTTCGGTCACCGATGTTAGTGTTCCTTTTATATTGTTGCATAATTGTTTATTGACCAATGATGAACTCACGTTACGCGTTAGATGTGCTCATTTAGTGGTCATTGTTTTAGGTATGTCAGTAGCCATCAACATCAACGCTATCAAAGTGGTTTTCTCTTTACAGTACCATAGAACTCTAAGAGTAGTGATTGCAGTTGTGTCACTGTTTGAGTTTTAAGCACGTGAACGGCATGACGTTAGTTGAGCTTAGGTTAAGCTATAGATCTGGAAAGACGTTTGACTCTAAACTCATTCATATCCATCCCCTTATAGCTTTTTTTAGCTTTCATCACATTACATGTATATCATCACCATGTATTGTGTAATTATGCATTCTATTATCATAAATTATCACTATGCGAGTGGTTGAGGACTTTTGTATAGTCTCATTATTGTGTTTGCGTTTGTTATGTTTGACAATGCCTTCATAGCGTTAGTAATGTAGTTGCTCTTCTATTGAATGATATTTTCAATCAATGTTGATGGATTGATTTTTCTCCTGTATTGGATAGTTCAGCCATACTATTCTATAAATTATTATCGCATTGCCTGAATTATTGAGCGTTTTGCGGTTGTTGTAGTTATATGGAATGGCTGAGCTCAGTCATTGTATAAATAACTATTGTATTGTCTGATATTTATTAGCGTTTTCAGTATACATTTGAGAGTTGTTTTCATTATTAGTTAATTGTATAGCTGAGCTCAGTCACTACTGTGGGCAGCGCGTGCTGGCAACGCTGGACTTGGACGCGGCCTGACGGCGGTACCTCGGCCTCTTAACCTCGTTATTGTCGTATTATTTTATGCGTTATTGTCGTATTATTTCATGCGTTATTATCGTATTATTTTATGCGTTATTGTCGTGTGGGCAGCGCGTGCTGGC